GAACTCTTTTGGTTCAATGAGATAAACTTTCACTTTTGATTGGCTTTCTTTGTTTCCACCATAGCCTTAGGGCTTTTAGGCTGTCTTCAATATTTTTTTTGATAGGTCTATTTTTTAGTAGTAATTGCACCACAAGCTGCTTTGAAGAAAAGGCTTTTGTCTTTCTTTTTGGGAAGATTCAATGGCAATAAGTTCTTACCTTAAATTGCTATGATTGTTATGGTCGACATTTCAGATTTGGTAGTGTCAAGCATAACTATCCTTCTTCCTTCTTTGGGTTGTATAAGTGATACAGACCTCATTTAGGAACGGTAGATTCCTCTACTCAAGAATTGGATATGAACTTGGTTGATTTATCATTAAGTCTTGCAAGAAATTCCCCCTTCTTTCTACATGTTGTTTTAGAACTACTGCATCATTACTACGCTTCATCCTGAGATGTTCGTAGTAATCTAGTTCTAATCAATAGACATTGCATTAAAATATTCAATGATAGAGATGTTACCACACTTGATTTTTGAAAGCTTCATCTTGATCTCATATATGAGAGTAATATCCTTAACTTTTGAGCGAGTCTGTTTGTCATTTCTCAAATGTCTTTTGTGGTTAGGAATATGTTGGTATTGATTTCAATCATCATGGCATTCTATAATCATAACAAAATCATAGAGTTTGCTTTATCCGAACATGCAAACTTTGGCTCTTTCAGATTTGAAGGAGGATCAATAAAATGATAAGTTTTTTCTTTTCTATTAGAAAGGTCTTCACAATCTTAAGACTACTTTAGGTAATTTCTTTCATATTAGCAATATGAGATTTATAGCCCTTTGAATTCTTCTTTGGTAGGATTACTCTAGTTTTAACTATTTATTATGGTCAACTCTTTGGAAGGGAGGTTGAAAAATCAAACATGAGGACAAGAATAAGAATAAAAGAGAGAAGAAAAACAAAGTTTGGAAGGAGAATCCTAAACTTGCTCTAATATCATATAGAAGAAGAGAAGTGACTAAAAAACTTGGACTATTTAATCATCCACTGGGTATTTATTCCGAAAGCCATCTAGGACATGAATGAAAATTATGCAATATTAAGGAGAAATGCTAATTACAAAAATTAAAACTATTTTCCAAAACTTTCTTGTATGCGCAATTTGTGGTGCTCCCATTTCCATGCTAAGCACATGGACCCGTGGCACATGTCTTTTCTTGATTAGCACAAGAATATGTGGCACTCTTCTTTCCATATCAAGCACATGGATCCATGGCATATTTTTTTCCTTTTTTAGCACATGAATCTGTAGCTCTTTTGATTCCTTATTTAGCAATCCCAAGGCTGTTAATTTCGCTAGTCCTTGGGTTGTTCCAACAAAATGCACATTATTGCTATAAAATATATGTTGTGTGATGCATGAAAGGCAAACAACCATTAAAGATCTAAAGGGGAAGCATAGAGTTCTCACCATCAACAACAAAACCTTAAACCTAGATCATCAATTGGTTTTGAAGGACTTCAAGTTATATATCACGTGTTATGGTTGTGGTGCCATGTTTACGTTTTGTTTGTAGCTTCTTTCATTCACGTTATGCTCCTAGTTGTCCTTATGATGATTGATATGGGCATCTTGTCATTTTATCTCAGTAGGATTTGTGTGACTTTTCAATTTATTTAACTTTCCCTTGTAATTTGTTGATGCTAGATGATTTCATTTTTAGTATTCCTGATGCAACTATAATGAGATTTATTTGACATTTAAATATTTATTTATCTTTCCCTCGTAACTGTTGATGCTAGATGATTTCATGTTTAGGAGTCCTGATGTAACTATAATGAAATAATGCATGTAGATCACTTCACCAATGGAAACTAGGATTCACAAATCATAAAACATTGAACTAGTTAACCATTTGCTTTCTTTTAGTGTAAATAGTAAATATGAGGATTGGAATCCAAACGAAATGTAATGATCAGATAAATACAATGAAATCAATAGGGAATTCGAACCACTAAAAATATGTTAGCATTTTTAGTTTAATAACTATAATTGGAATCCTAGTTGTGTTAGATTTGAACAAAATTGGGAACACTACTTTGACTACTAGCAAGCTTTGTGAAATTAGCTTTAAGGGGTTGTTGGTTTGAAATAAAATGCATGTAAAATATTCCAAATCCAATGGTTTTGAAAATATCGATTTTTGGTTTGAAGTAAAAGAAATGCAAAGTAAAATTTTGTTGTATTGGGAATGCACTCTCTATAGTGTGTTTTTTGTTGATTGAAATTCTTTAAATTTTAGCGATTTTTAAATTCCTCATAAATTATTTGTCATTATCGTTGGACATTGCCACCTATCGTTGTCCCTGGCCTAAGCGGCGCATCGCCTACTCTCGCCGCCAGCCACCACTGACCAATGCCGACAACTACGGGCTGCCTCTACCCACCATCGTTCATAGTCGCTTCTGCCTGTCGCCAATCAGCCACCACCATATTTGGGATTTTATATTGTATTCATTTTACTTTAAGCCAAAAAAAAGTAATCACATGTATTCACTTCACCTTCATCCAAGCAACTTCAAATATGTCAAATTCATTGCATTCTTTTTACACTTCAATTTTTTTCAACCAACCAATCAGCCCGTAGTTATCATACCTTATAGTCTAAAATGTAAACTACACTCTATTGCACCATTATCATAAATAAAAAAATCAAAGGCGAGCAAAACAATTAATGGCTACAACATAAGCGAACCAGCATATGTGTTTGATTGAAACTTTTTTGTGAGTGATACACTACTTTACTGGCATGCAAGCTCTACAAGTATAATATGAGAACCTGTGTGAGAATGGAGCGAAAAAGAGGAGAAATTTTTGTCGGAAATAATCTATTAGTTTAAGAATCAATAGTAAATTTTTCAAAATTTCCAAGATATTCATCTTCACCCCTTATTTAAATGGATTTGAGGGCTTTAGGAAAGGTTGTGCCAATAAATAAACAAAAAATACATGATTTTATAACACTTAGTACAAACTGTCTTAGATATGTACCACACCCTCGCTAACTTGATAGATGATTGCCTTTCTTAATCTTGTTTTTTTTTTTTTTGTCCCAGGGCGAGTTTCATAGTTTCGAGTGCATAAGAGCAAGTAGGCATATGTAGGCGAGTCTGTTGGCGAGTGTTCAACTGATAGGGCTATAATTGATGTCTAGAAGCCATTGACAACCAATGTTGGAGCATTGGATTTCCTAGGAGTGGTAGGCGAGTTAGTTTAACTTGTATGGATGATAAGCTCTAAGATCAACCAACTATGATGGGACGAACTGAAGCGCTCTTGAAAAGTTACTTATTTGTAGCTAAGATGATAAGTATAGTTGAAGCTCTCCATCATAGATAGGGGCTAGTGGCTTTAGTGGCTAGCCCTTGCTGGTGGGTGAGTGAAGAGTTGATTAGTCCGCGAGAAGCATTTATTGTTGTTATGAAGGGCTACTCCCCTTTGAATTCCCTATTGAGTTAGGTCTCAACGCCCTCGGACGAGTTTCTTTGTGGGTCCACGAGATACGGGTTTCACTTGTTTTGATCCGCTGACTACCTGTTGAATACTTGAAAAGATATATATGATATATATAATGTCCAAGCATAACTTTTACAGAAAAAAATTACATGAAACTAGGGGTGTCAACTTTTGACACGACCCGAAAACCCGACCCGGATCCGACCCGGAAAATCCGGGTTGGACCCGACCCGTTTGATAAATGGGTCGGGTTCGGGTTCACAAATTCGACCCGTTTAAAAAACGGGTCGGGTTCGGGTTGACCTCGGCGGGTTGCCAGGGTCAACCCGCGAACCGTTTAATTCAAAAAAAATTGAATTTTTGCATTTCCTCGCCCTGCCCGAGCTGCCGCCCGCGCTGCCCGCTCCTGTCCCGCCCGCACCTGGCCGCGCTCGTGCCCGCGCGCAGCCCGCGCTGCCCAGCTCGTGCCGCGCGCCCACGCGCGCCAGCCGCGCACCCTCCGCGCGCCACCGCGCTGCAGCCCGCTCTCGCCCGCCGCGTCGTCGTCCGCCAGCAGCGGGTTCGACCCGAACCGGGTCGGGTCGGGTCAACCCGGCAACCCGCCGGGTCGGGTCCGGGTTCGGATTTCCGACCCGTTTGCCTTCCCGGGTCGGGTTAGGGTCGACCCGTTTGAACCCGGGTCAGTTCCGGGTTCGACCCAAACCCGACCCGTGACCCGAAATTGACACCCCTACATGAAACCATAGTATCCATAACAAGTCCAAAAGCCTAGAATGTAGGAGAGTCCCTCTTTGTATCGTGTACTATATAATCCTTGTCATCATCATCAAAGTTTGAAGAGGACTTCCCCTTGCTAGGCCATAAACAATCACCTTTTGTGCCATCCGCTGAAGATCTTTCATTGCTGCCTTCCGTTTTGGCCATTTGGCATCTCGCAGCAGAACCTTGACAAATTTATCAAAGTGACGAACCTTATTAGATCACTTATAATTGTAGTTTTCTCATTGGTTTTTCAAAAAACAAATGGACTAATTTTGTCAACAATGTTTCTTAAATTATTGTCCAAAGCATGTTTAGGTTTAGGGTTTGTTTGGGACGGTTTTTTTTTTGCTTCTTAAAACAATTTTCTAGTACAAAAATTAAATTTTTATACTAGAAAACTGCTTTAAGAAGTAATTAAAAAGTCGTCCCAAACGAGGCCTTAGACGGCAATTTTCTCACAAAACGCTACCAAATGCAGCTTAATATTTCTAGTGTTGTATTATCAGATTCGGCTAGCATTAAAACGTCACATTGCACCTTGTTATATTTATAACTTCGGCCGCAAGGAAGTTTTTATTATATGTCTAACCTACTATTTGATTGCGCTATAGAATTCAGTTTTGATTGAAAAGCTTTTTTTTTCGCCTTTGGAACTCTAACTGACATTTTTTTTAATTAAAATGATACTGAATGTCTTCCTTCATCATTAAAAGACATTGTCTTATCTTTCTAGGCAAAGAGAATGGATGTTGTTTGGGGAGAAACTGCTGGTGTAGAAGGTCAGCTGTGGCTGTTATATCCTATACTTTTCATCTTGCAGGTAAGTAGAGCACAGAAGTAGAGATTTTCTGTGCAAAAACGACAAGCATATTTAGTAGTCTAGTCAGCAGTTTTTTTTTATGTTTTTTAATGCCAAGAAATACAGAATAAAACTTTCAGGGCTTTCCTTATGAGGGATCTGAAATGCTTTCCTTTGTTAGAAAGCATTAAAAATGATATTTTCTATTACATTTCATAGAGAATTTGACTCTTAATAGGAGACAATGGAGAAAAAAGATTCATATAGTCGACCTCACGTAGTAGGATAAAAACTTGATAATTGATATTATGTTGTACTTGAAAATAGTATAAATAGAGTGATTTTTAAATCCCATGTTGTGCTTGCTTGTGGTTTGTGATGCCCTCCCTCATTTGCTTAAAGTATTTGATTTTCATTCAACCAAATAACTCTTACAATTTTTAAAATGTATATATGTTTAAATTTTCCAATCAAGCAACCCCTCAATGAAAAACATGAAGTTGTTTTTCTAAAAATAAAAATATCTCTTCCATTTTGGTCCCCTTACTAAAAAGTTCAATATGAAAGCTTCTTTTTATTCCCCTGGTAGCAGATTTGCATCAGTTAGCCTTAAAGCTGAGTTGCACATTTAGGCTTCGTTTGAGACAGCTTTTTTGTTGTTTCTTAAAGCAATTTTTTAGTTCAAAAAAGAAAATTTTTGTGCTAAAAAACTGCTTTGAGAAGCAATAAGAATGCCGTCCCAAACGAAGCCTTAACCTCAAGAAATATCTTTTTTGAAGCTCAACCAATATCTTTTTTTGAAGCAACTGATTGTATTTCTTGTCATTTAACTAAATTTTAGGTATTTGAAGCTTATGTTGGAATGCTCTTACTCCGCACAGCATTCGTCGGTGTAATTTCTGAATGGCAGGCAAGAATCTTTTGCTCACTGAAGGCCCTTTCTTTGTTTTTCTTCCACACAAAAGTGCAGATTCTCAAGCTTTTGATCTTCCCAATTGTTTCAGGTTGTAGTTTGTGGGGTTCTTCTTGTCGTAATGGCAGTGGGAAATTTTGCTAACACAGTTGAAACTCTCATGGCAAAATCAAGATTCAAAGCTATGAAAAGGAGTAAGAGCAAAAATGATTTTGATCAGTTGCCTTCCCCCACATATTTTAGATAAATGCAGAGATGGTTTTTGGTCCTGCTAAGCTAATATTATACCTTGAGTAATATTATTCAGAAGGCTCTTATAATGGAAATCAACGATGTAAAGTATTATTTTATTTAGCTACATTGTCTCTGCTTATTAAACGCAGTCATTTGGTGGTCTTATCATAAGATGTGTGATAGTTCTTCTGGTCCTGAAATTGGCTCTTCTTTTTCTTCACATTTTTTTATTTTTGACAGTCAGCTTGTTTTGTTTTTTTACTTTTCAGTACTTAGTAATTTTATTTGATATTGGAAACCCTCATTTTATTTTATGGAAGTTAGTTAGCTATTTATTGTGCTAAGGTTGGAAGTTAGTTAGCTATTTTTTTTGTAAAGTTGGGAGTATTTTTAACAATTTAATCTGTTAGTGTGGATGAATTATTCTATGCAGACACCGAACAGTTCTCCCATTCTGTGTTCTTTGTCTACAGTAAAAGTGCAACAGTTGCGTTTTTACTATAGCAGCTGTGCTTTTACTGCAGAGTTAACGGTTCTCTCTATCCGGTGTCCACACAGAATAATTTTTCGTTAGTGTGATAGTTATAATGAAGTAAATAATTTATTTTTTTGTTTGAAGAAGGAAAATATATAAGATCAATGATAGTGTTCAAAAAAGATTTTAATCATATATTTATATAAAATTATTTTTACTTGCAATTTGCAGATATGCAAATGTCTATTTCATATTTATTGGTGCTATGTTGTGACAAATTTTTTTAGTCAAATTAGAGTGATAGCTTCCGATAATTGATCAAACTCCAGCTTGAGTTTAATTCTATGAGTTATGAATATAATTATGATTTAAGTAATTATTATAATAAAATTAGATAAAGAATAAAAAATTAGAAAATAAATAATAAAAAATTATTTGATATAAAAAAGAGATAATTTTAAACATTTATTCATATTTTTTAATATATTTAGTAGTAATAATTTGTAAAAAATTTGTTTGTTAAGTAATTTTGGCTCACGAGTCAGTTTAGTTCACTTAACATTTATTAGGGAATTGTCAATTGAATTGAATCTCATTCATCTATTGCCTGTTTATAGTTGTCGCAAGTCTGAATTCAAGTTGGATGGTTGAAGTGGAGGAATGCATCGGGCTTGTTATGTGATAGAAATGTACCCCTCAAACTTAAGGGAAAATTCTATAAGATGGTAGTGAGGCCTGCAATGCTTTATGGTGCCGAATATTGGCCTTTAAAAGAGAAGCATAATACTAAGTTAAGTGTGGCAGAGATGAGGATGCTCAGGTGGATGAGTGGCTTTACCCTTAGAGATAGGATACGAATTGAGCATATACGTGAAAAGGTTGGAGTAGCTCCAGTAGAAGATAAGATTAGAGAAAGTCGCCTTAGATGGTTTGGTCACATAAAACGGCGGCCTTGCGATGACCCGGTTAGGAGAGTAGAGGTATTAGATTTGACTTATGTTAAGAAAGGTAGGGGTAGACCTAAAAAGACTTGGTTAGAAAATATTAGGAATGACCTTTCTTTATTAGATTTAAACGAGAATTTGACTTTTAATAGGACACAACGGAGAAAAAGGATTCATGTAGCCGACCCCACGTAGTGGGATAAAGGCTTGATGTTGTTGTTGTTGTTGTATAATTTTCTTAAAGTTTTTTTTTTTTTTTACAATCAAATCTACTAGAGCATGATTAGGACTAAGATTTTAAATCGAAGATGAAAGATCGCTTCAAAATTGAATTGATTTTTGTCTCGGATCAAGTTCAAATTGAGTAAAATGTGTCGAAACATGAAGCATAAATCGATCTTTGATTTGATTTTGAGTTGGAATGGATCAGATTGAGCTAGTTCGAAATCGTATTTAAATACAAATAGTATGTATGAAAAAAAAAAGTATGTATATTTTAAAAAATTAATATATGCATAAAAATATATGGATGTTACAAATATAATATCTATTATATTAAAATTAAAAGAGAAAAACTAATGATTTGGAGCCAACTCGATTACAAATCGATTTGATTTGAGCCAAGCAGGCTCAAGATCGAAAAAATTCGAGCCATGGGCCAAGTTTTAGCTATCTTATATTGGTTTGATCTGGTTTCGAGCAAAATTAGATCGGCTCGAAATAGAATTGTTCTCTCCATGAAGTGTTGTAACTATAAGAAACTATTTTATAGGAAGATAAATAATCTATAATGCTCACAACAATTTTAAAAAACTTATATTTCCACAACTAATTTTAGAGATAATTGCATGCCTCAAAAACATGAGAGATTATTACATGCGGAAATCGGACACATATAATTGTCCAGTTTTATCTATGTGAATAATAAAAGCATAGCAGTGAACAGCAAAAACACAGTGATGAATAGTGATTGCGTTTTTATTGTTCACAGAGACAAAACCAGATGGTTCTTTGTGTCCGATCTCCGCACATAATAATCTTTCTAAAAACAGACCCTTAATTCTACTAAGTATAATGGAGCTCTTGATTGGACTATCAGGCATGGTTAGGTAATGGTTTCCCAAAAATGAACTTACCACTGAGAAATAACTCATAGTTAAAGAAACAGACAATGATCTTCTCAAAAGAGAAATGCGTCAAAAAAAAGCTTTAGTGAAATGATATTTATCTTCCACTCATCATAGCTTATCCTCTACCATGTTCAACATGAATAAAATCAAATTATATTTGATGAAGTTGGTATGATTGGAAGAAATAAATCATGATGAAGATCAGTAGATCTAGCCAATGCAGATCTCCTTACTCATTTTCTTTTTACCAAAGAAATTTGCTTGATTTTTGAGAGATTTGAGGAGACGATACTGGTTTCTTAAAGAAATCACAAGAGAGAATGGAAGAAGTTTGTTCCGTAAGAAAAAGCTGAGAAACATTTGAAATTAAGCCTTCTGTGATGGGGACTGAGATGGGGAGGGGAGAGAAAGAGAGATCAAGAGGGAGAGAGTCATTCAGGATTGAAGAAAATGAGTGTGATAACTGATAACCCATTCTTTAAGCTTTTAGATTTCTCAAGTAACGCTTCCATTTTTATTATCTAAAGACTAAAATCATTTTGTCCTGTGAACTTGTCTATCCCCCTCATCCTACCAACGCCACCAAGATCCTAAATTCCTAATTCATGGGTGAAGAATATCTTTCAGCTTTTCTTGATTGAAAGCTTTGCTGAAATTTAGGTCACTTTGATTAGCTTTGTTCCTTCAAACTCCTTTCATCAAATACAGCTAGGATGAAATATAATTCTTAGCTAAGCAGACTCCACAAAGAGAGAAAATAATTCCTACAAGTATTATTATCTTAATCTGACTTTAAATGCTGGTTTACTCAAATAAGTTTAGAATTTTAAATTCATCCTTATCGGCTTATCCTATTGTAATCTGAAATTGGATCTAATGTTCCATCTTTGAAAGCCATGATCTCCTTCTGTGACATCCCATAAATGATTTGATTGGGAATTTTGACTACTAAGTTTCAATGAACAGGGTCCATTTGATCATCCTAAAATCTAATGCTCAAACTATGATCATAGATGATTTGATTGATATATTATCCCCATATCAAGTAATAAATGTCAAGCTACTGCAGTTCAAAAACTTCTTGTCAAATTGTAAATAACCATTTTGCATCTAGAGAAAGAACATTTTATTACATATGCCATGATCAAACCATAATTTGCACTACTTTAAAATATTTTATGTGTTTGATACAAAATACTATTGGACAATTTTCGACTACGAATTCCAACTTAAAATTTTTTTTGAAATAAGAATTGAAGGAGATAGTGGCACATACTTGAAGTAGATGGATCACAAATTGTGCAGATATTAACAAAGATTTGAGGCAGATGAACCTGATACTTGAAGTCTTAATTTTTTGTAGTCCTCATAACTCAAAAAGGAATCTTTAACCTTGAGCCAATCTGCCGGTTTGGGCATGATTATTGCAATATATCCTTCCCTATCTGCCTGCAAAATTAACCAAAATATGAATCATTACGAGTGTCTAAAGGAAACCAGATAGAGGCATTCTGAAATGCTCTCGACGTTAAATATAGTCAAGCAAGCAGTTGGTCCTCTTTGTGCATCTTCTATGAGTTGTCATAATTGGCTTGAAGGTGATCTATAACTCATTTATCAGAATCATCGAGAACTAGCGAATGAATTAATCTATTTGCTTTCTTTTGCAAAACTATGTCATCTAGTTTATTAGTGTAAGAAGGCCAATAATATAATGGTGTTCCATATTTCATCCATTAAATATCTACGCACACACATCTTTCGAAGAAAGGAATTAAACCATTGTAATTATAAAATAAATAATAAATAAGAAAGCTCTCCTTAAGACTAAGGCTCCGTTTGGGGCAGCTTTCTTACCGCTTCTTAAAATAATATTTTAGTACAAGAATTAAAATTTTTGTACTAGAAAGCTGCTTTAAGAAGCAAGAAGAAAACCGTCCCAAACAAAGCCTAAGAAATTTGCATTCTAGTGCCCTATATAGGAAATTCCCACAAGTATAAAACTATAACTTTTCCAATTGTAATAACGGAAATTTTACTTTGATGATCTATAATTTAAAAAATAGATTATAAAAAAGATGTTTTTTGCTTGAAATCTATTTTGTGGGTTCAGATTATGACACAAAAACTGAAAACAATTTATTGTGCCCAAAGAAGGCTGTAATAGCAGTGATTGATTGAACAATCTAATATGGGCTATATGACCAATTGCTATTCGCTCCCACTTGCATATGAACAATGAAGTTTACATTACGACTCCGCCCGGCGCCCAATGAGGAGGAGCTTGTACACAGTTGTGTTACTTGTGTAAATAACCATGTACTAGCTCCCCATTGGTTGTCCACATGTATCCACACCTAGATATCCACAATCATGAGTATTATTTAGGAAGTACATATGTAGTGTTGGTTTGAGGAATTGTAAGAACAAAAATAGCATGCAATCCTCAATGAATCATTTGAAATAAATAGATTCTTACAGCCAAGTTGAGAAGCTCTGGATTCTTGATCAACCGATCATTAACCTCCAATAGGGAACCTTTCACGCAGCACCTTAAGGAAGACGAAAACCCATCCCTTCAAATAGAATCTACACGCTAATGTTTAACTGAGGCTCGTTTGGGACGGCTTTTTTGCTGCTCTTAAAACGATTTTTTAGTACAAAAATTATTTTTGTATTAGAAAGCAGCTTTAAGAAGCAGCATGAAAGCAATCCCAAACGAAGGCTGAGTCTCAACAAAACTTCATGAACAACAAACCTCGCTGTGTAGTAAGTACCATTGGCACATACATTACAAAGTGCAGAATCTGGTTGAAGATGCTGAGCATTCTGCATAGAAAATCATTAACCAGTTGTGAATCAGCTTAGAAGGAAAAAAAAAAAACAATAAAAATATCCAGTAGAAACTGGATCAATTCGCCCAAAAGATGCCCTACCCGTTTTCGCTTTCCCGTAACCTTAAGCTCGCTTCGGTTCGACTTCCCCACGTTGAAATCAACGGATTGAACTCCTCCAACCTCATTAAGGGCAGCGTGAGAAGGAGCAAGACCAATCACGCATAAACTTTCATCATGATTTATGAAAAAAAAAAATTAACATCAAATGCTCCAACAATATTGATGCGTGAGAACAATAAAACAGTGAACTTTTCTATCAATTTTCCTTATATACCCATTGGCATGGCGATAGATATATTGATCATGCGCAGGCTTGAGAAAATCTGTGAACAAGAAAGGAAATCACGATCGAAATAAGGTCAAATATTGGCCCTTTAAGGAAAAAAATATCAATTACTTAATTGTACCAAGAGCATAGTAGCGGACAAAGTTGGATTCAACAGCTGAACGAGGAATTGACGGAAGATCGTCAAAATCGGGGATTAGAAGGGCACGAAGCTCCTCATCCTCCACACTTTTCTCCAATGATGAAAGTGAGGGCTTCTCTAGGGTTTCTTGACCTTCTGCCATTGCCATCAGAGAGAAAGTAGCACACTGAAACGCGGACCGGAGAACCAATTGTGCCTCGACTAACCACTGTATCGATCGCGTCGACTGTGCTTCATGATTCGGCTGCGCTTTGATCGCCTGCAAAATATTATTTTTTAAAACAGCAAATGCTTAATTTCAATTAGGAGTAAAAGAGGAGAAAAATATAAAAAAAAAAATTAAGGAGAATCAAATTAGTCAAACAAAATTATGCATTTCATCCAATACATCGAACTATTTAATGTATTTAGAAAATAAGCCAAATAATTTAGTGCATTCAATGTAATATGAGATACAATTTGACGCAGTCCACTAAATTCACCATTTAGTAACGCGCATTGCTACAGTTATGCAAAATTCAATTTGATTGACTGGACGGCATGCGGGTAAATGCGCCAATTTGTATGATTCATTCTTTAAAATGCGTGAATTTATTTGGCTCGTTTCTTCCGTTTTAAATTTTAAAACTTACCTGATCCTGCTACTAAAAAATGTATATCATACATGCTCATTCTTTTAAAAAAAAATCTGCAAAAAAACTTTTATATATAATTTAACTCTATTTTTAACAAAGTTGTAATAGATATAATGTGGTTTAATTTGAATAACATAATTGCAGGCTAGAATATTCGGGGCGATAAAAGAAGCAATAAAATATATGTTGAAAAATGAAAAGTCTAGTCAATAAAACAGAAGAAAATATAATAAATATCAATTTAGATAAAAAAATAAATCCCATAATCAAAATGTTCGAAAGCAAAGTTAGAATAAAAGTCACCTGCAATGATTGAATAATTTTTATAACAGGAGCATCAGATATAAAAACTCTAGAAGCATTTTCTTTTCTTTCTCTCTCTTCCTCCCCTTATCCTCCCCTCCTTCCCTTCCTTTCCTAGCAAGCCAAATGAGAGTGAGGGGGATATGGCTGAGAAGAGAAAAAATATATATTAAAAAATATATCTAGTGTCTAACGCCTCTGCGCTCCAACCCAATACTACAGTGTTGCATGCTTATCTAGAGTTGTTGTAAAACAAAGAATATCAACATCGTTGCATTGAATTTCAGTGCTCCAACGCTGCTCCCCCCAAAGCCGATAAACGCAAATTAAATCATAGCATCACAGTTCAGAATTTTAAAAATCTTCAAATAAGTCCATTAAGAACTTTGGGCTGTTACAATCTTGATCGAAGATATCATAGATCTTATTTTAAGAAAATCTCATTGACCCACCCTTCTGTACAAGATAGAAATCAATCTCTATCTACTCTCTTTTAATAAGTAGCCTTTCTTGTTTACACATAATATATGAATATAGGTATAACTATTAATAATTAGCAATTATTTATTCATTTGAATTCATTCACAATATCTATTTCATCAATATGCTCATATTAGGATACAAAAATTACTATGTATATTATTCTTACTAAAAATGTATGAAATACAATAATAGAATTTTAACAGGTGAAAATATAAAATGAACCATTCAAAATGATGAGAATAAATTGTTCTATAATTTGTCAAAAGTAATATGGTAGAAGTTCACTAAATCAGACAAAAATGCAATATTTAAAAGCAGATGTAAGATAGAAGTCACATATAATAATCAAAATAATTTTTATAACTAAAGCAACGAATGAAAAAATCTTGGAAGCCCTTCTCTCTCTCTCTCTCAATAACCTAAAGCTAAATAACCTTGCACACACACTCAGGGGGAAAATTTTGGTTAGTTTGAGTTTTTTTTTTTACCTAATCATCAAGGATGATTTGAAATAGTATTGGATGATCAGTTAAAAATAGAAATCCTGATTAGAGCATCCATGCTAATTTCAAGTGATTAAACTAATCGTATTGGACGATCAATATCATCTAAGACGATTAGTTTATATGATGAAAAACAACCACCAATCACAATTTAGGTAATTTTTTATTTTCAAATTTTGTTCTAACCATACAGTACTATAGACAATGTACTGGACGGTTTCTGACAATCATGCTTAAATTGATCCGATGATTAGAGGAATAATTATGATTAAATTGTTCAATCATATCGTACAAGATGATCCATTTGGATCGTAATAGATGATATAGTATATTTCGTAGGATGATCCCCTATCAACCAGGATGAAAAACCATAATTTTCTTCAAATCATATAGGAGTATCGTATTGGACATCTCGAGACTTTTTTGTGATGATATATAGATCACCACCCATGATCCCATGTTGTATTGGACGATCAATATAGTATCTTGAACTAATATCATACTGGATGATATGTGCAAATACTTGTACTGATCGTACATAGTAAAGGTTATCGTCCTGGCTGAAAGGACTATTATGTATTAATCGTATAGGACGATCTATCGATCGTTTGTACAATCAGTTGCATAGAATTGAAAATTAGGGCTTCTTTTGGAGGCTCTCTATTCAAGCAATTGTATTAACCCTTGAGTTAATCTTTTGTGGTGTAGTTGATCCAAGAGGGAGCTTTGAGAAGGAAGAGGGACAGCTTGAGAGAGAGAGAGAGAGCGAGAGATTCTTGTGAGGAGAAGTTCTTGAGGGAATCACAAAGGCTGCTCCAAGTAAGGTGTTCGTTGTCTTCTTCGAGTTTTTGTATTGGTTCCTTGGTGGCTCTGGGGAGATCGACTTTAGCATTAGATTCAGATTCTCTACCTACTCCATGACGAAGCAAAAGGATTCCCGGGTTCTTTGCCTTCACCAGATGGGTCAAAAAAGATTTTCAGGTTCTCTGCCTACTTCAGGATGGAGTATAAGGATTCAAGGTTCTCTGCCTCACCATATCGATGGAAAGATTTTGTAAGGACTTCTCTGCTTTGCTGTGGAAGCAAAAGGAGAGTCACTTCAGTTTAATGCAATACTTGGAAAGGGAGTCTCCAAGGAGTGGACGTATGTCAGATTTGACCGAATCACTATAAATTTTGATGTGTTCTTTCTTATTACTTTTACTGCTTTTTATTTCCGCACTTTTCTAAGATTTATTCTATGATTGAAAAATCTAATTATATTGTTATAGTGAAAATTATATTTCTTTTGCATCAAGAGTTATTATTTTGCTTTAAAATATTTAAAAAGATAAAAAAAAATTCTTTTTATTTAAGATTTTTTAAAACTACCAATTTACACTCTCTTGGTTAGTCATAGGTTAGTTCTTTAGGGTCTAACACAGTAACACCCCTCACGAACTTTTAGCATTATAGAATAATTTTACAAAAAAAATATAATTTATTGCCAGCACTGTGATGCCTAACTACCCAACATTGCTATATTGCATGTCGACCCCAAATTATTGTAGAGTAGAGTCTTTAATGTAGCGATGACGGTTTATGGCTCCACCATGCTTTCGAGCACAGCACCGCAGTGCTTCCTAGAGAATTTAGGTTTTCATGCTTTCAAATAAAGTCATTTAAAACTTCGGGTTCTTACCCAACAATGGACAAAGGATTATAGTGGGGTGAAATGGTCAGATGATCTCAATTAGAAGACGGTGATTCAAGGATTACAGTCGACGACGGTGATTAGATGCCAGAAGACCGTAGTAAGATGATGGTGGTCGAAGGTTTTTGTTTGGTGACATTTATTAGAGGATCATAGTCAGGTGATTGTGATTGGATGATTATATGTAGACAATAAAAGTTGAAGGGTTATAGTAGATGTCAATGGTCAAATGGTTGTCATTGTTGGGCAATGATAATGGGAGGGTTATAATTGAGTAATGTTTGTTGGATAACAATAGTCTGATGTTGACGATCAATGAACTATATTTATGTGATTTTTTATAGGTTTGTAGTCATGTGTTGGTGGTTGGATGGCTTTCATAATTGAGCAACCATAATATGAGGGGTATATTCAGACAATGTTGGTTGAAGAATAATAATTAATTTCTTCACATATTTAATAATAATAAAAAAACAGTAATATAACGATAGATGTAAGAAAACTATAATTAGATGATTGTTATTATAAGACTGTGTCGCACGATGAATGTTTGGGGATTGTATTTATGTGACAGTATTTTGATGATTTTGATTAGTTTGTCTATAATTTAATATAGGAAGTTTCTAATTTAAACATGCATCGAATTTTTTGATCAATCAAAAATATTTTTATGACATATCAAGTAGTGTGAGTAAGCACCTTTGAGCAAATTGATTATTTAGCATTTATTTATTTATTTAGCATATGGTTTCACTTTATTTTTTGGAGGAAAATAGTTTATTGAGCTCTTTAAACATTTTTTTCCTCACAACAAATAAATGATAATAATTTTCAATTTTATTAAAATTATTTTTATTAAAATTGAAGTAATAAAAATTATTATTATAAAACATTAGAAATAAATAAATAATTAAAATTAAAGCAAATTATTTATCCATAATATGACAAAAATAGAAATTTATATATATTTTAGATCAATCTAAATATTTTAGAAATAAAAATAACAAATAACTCTTTTTTATATTATATTAATAATTACTTATTTATTTTATCTTATTTATATTTAATTTGTGTACTTGTAATTTTATAGTCTTATTTTTCTGAGTTGTAATCCTTTTCATTTCAATATATGAGCTCTGCTTCAAATTTTCCAAAAAAAAAAAAAATTAATTTTAAAAATTTAGCAACAAGCCCTTTAATGCGTAGTCAAATTTCTCTACCGAATTCCTTAGTGCCCGGTGAATTCCGACTGGTAGGTCACGTGCGCATGGCACTATTCTCACGTGCGAACCCTCTGCTCGCATTTTATGCCCACGTGTGTCGATAGAGGAGAAGGCTGAGCTGATCCGACGAGACGGCGAGGTTAGACAGCTTTGGAAGGGACTAAGGGAGGCACACGAGCTCGAGTAGGCGGTCCTCAGCAGCTCAAGGCTCTTCCTCTCTCGGTCACCTCCACGTTCTCCGAGTTCCGGCGTTCGACATCCGACGACGCGGCGTCTAGGTATGGATCTCATCTCATCCATCTCCATGTTATTCAAGCTCTGCAGATTCTTCTTGCCTGCTATCCATCAGTATAAAGTGGATGCCATTCTCTCATGAAGAGCTTTTTTCTGTCGTGCTGAGGGGTTGATTTGCCCTATCCCTAATCCGAGCGATGGCTGCGCCTTATGATTTTTTTAATTTATTGTTGGGATTGGTTTGGGATTATCTGAGATGGAGGTATATCGGTTATTTGCTTTGACGGCTTCTGTACAGCGCTTAATTTTTTTTTTTCGAACTTTGTAGCAGGTTCATTTTATAATAGGTTGCGGGAGGAAATATTGGCCGCTTACATTCATTTTGAACTTGTTTGGTTTTTGCCGATCTGTAATGTGTAAATGTTGATTTGTTCTTGTTTCATTTCTGAACGGTTTGCTGGCAGTATAAACTAGTTAATTTGTCTTCTCTTTTTTTTTGGGTTGAGGTAGTATTTGAGGTTTGATAACATGATTGGTGAGGTTGAAAATTATATTGATGGAGTTTTTAATGTTTTATCATTTTAGACTGTGTTATTGGATTATTCGTCCTTGAGGATAATATGTTTTTTGTTTTTTTTAATATGGTTGCATGGTGATTGGTTGACTAATTTGTTGTGTGGTGGTATCATTGATGTATAACCATTTGTTGCTTGAAATTGTTTATGCCATATTATATCTGTATTTTTTTTGTTAATTAATGCTCCCCTTAAGCTGTTTTGCTTCGGCTTGAATCTTAGCCTTTTTTTTTTTACTTTTTGTTAAATCACTCTTATTTGTTTAAGCAATCTTATGGGTTTCAGCTAGGATTAACAGGGAACAGTATAACACTTACTATGTTGTTTGCATTTTTAAGTATATTAGTCTAAAGTATCTTTGCTTGCCCATTTTACGTATCACTCCTCTATAAGGAATCTTATCAGTTTGGGAAACTTCCATGGAACCTTTACCAAACTTTCATTTAAATTATTGCAACTCTTTGGAATGTATGAACTACATTCATGTTTACTTCCTTAACGAGGGGCATAGTTATAAATGTGGGTGCCAGTTCATATCAGCATATGTTGACCCTTGGAAATATTGGATATTTTGAGAGATATGTTTGAATTAGGTGTTGAAATTAGTTTTATTTGACAAGAAAAGTGGGAAATAAGAAGAATGGTGGCTCTAGAACTCAGGAGACTACATGGTTATGGTTGATGAGGCTTCATAAGATGTATTTTTGACCTTTAGGGAAGATAATCAGAAGCATAACAAGCAAATGCTTTATTTAAGGTAGAGTTAGAGGATGCAAAATATAGAGAAAAACATATTATAACTCCAGGTAGGAAGTAGCGGCATGCAAGACAACCATCTTGTTCAGTTCTGGACGATACTGAGATAAATAATTCAGCCAAGGGGAGTGATGGAAACTTCCAACAGCTCCCTTGACCGCTATGGACTCACCGAAGTTGAAAGAGGAAAGAGAGAAGCCTCACTCTATTTGAAAGCTTGTTTGTAAAATATTATATTCATAAAACCATTTTCTCCTTAAAAGCACTCTTATTTATAAGAAGTATTTTTTTAACATATATAAAATCAAAATAAATGAAAGATTTCAATAGAAATAGAGAAAATCTCCCGTAAATATTAAGAAATCATTATGTCAGTTGAAATGCAAGTTTCAATCAACATAAAGGAAATGCAACAAATGTGGCATGCTACCTATAAGTGGAATACAACGCATCAACAATGCCTATGAGTCCCTACGATTCATCATTGGGGATCTTCCATGCATGCACTATCTAGCCTACAAGTAGAGGGGAAGGTCTGTAACAACTATCAGGAATATGCCACAAATATTATGAAGTCCCTCCAATCATTAACAACTATCTTGTAGATAAATGTAGTAGTTCCCTACAAACATTAAAAGGAAGCATACAACGAGCGTAGTAGGTTGCTGACGAATTTATGTGGGGAAATTAGCAATGGATGTAGTCCACCCGACAATCAACAACAATCTGCAAATAAACACATCAATCTCTTGTGAATTATTGAAGCTCATGCAATGTATAAGAGAGTTGTAGTTAATATGACCCACCTATGAATCAGTCATGCAAGTAGATACATCTGTCCCCTTCAAGCAGACGAATTTGACGTGCAATGAACAATGGTTGATGTGCAATGAAGATGGCAATTCACCGACCAACATATATAGAGAGACGAGTAGTGAATATACTACTTCCAGCAGTCAATGTTAGCTTACAGGAAAACACACCAAACTAATGCAAGTGATAACAGTAGATATGCGATGATTGCAAAGACGTTCTCATAGTCAACATCAATCGAGCATCTAGAAAATGCATTGCATTTACATGTTAATATGTTGCATATGCATATGTCATAGCTTATAAAATACGCACATGTCATCTGATAGTAGATTGAGCCATCTAGTGGTGGTGCTCAGCAGGTGGAGATCGACTGCGGCATGATGGCAGTGGTAGCCAGCGGGTGGTGGTGGCGGCGGCCGATGGTAGGGAATGTTGGGTGCTTGCGGTGTTCAAGCAAGCTTGTTTGCGGTGTAAACAGTTTTTGCTCAAAATTGGGCGAGTTTAGTTTATGTAAAAGTGAACAAAAATGGTTTACACTACATTTAATTTACTTTGCATTCTTTTTTCATCCAAACAAATACCAATATTTCTAAACCCCTCATACATTTGCAATACTTTACACTCACTTTACTTCCAAAAAAAAAACCCCATAATCAAGATGAATTTAGATATAGGATGTCCTTAGGAGATACTATGAACCTAGCAAACTTGGGAGCGAGGGAGTCATCAAGTTGACTTCTTCTCTCATTCTACAACCTCCTTTATGATTTGCATCCAAGTCCAACACCATATCTGCATATTGCGGTATTGCCCAACAATCATATTGATCTTTATGAAGAAATCAAAAGTTGTTCTTATTCATTCAAGGTATTTGATACAAGTCTATATTGATTTATCTAAAAAGGAAATAATGAAGCTACCATACACCAAATATAGGAAAATATTTCTTTCATTACGAATACTAATAATAACGTTCTACTTTGAATATAAATAATTAGATTTTAAATTCAAAGATTTCTTGTATGCTTTCCTCTCTCAAATAAATTCTAAATTAACTTTTTCAACTATTTATCATGATTTTTTTTGTTGGCATGAATACGTGATATCCTGACTTTCTTGGTATGTATTTGTGGGTACCAACACTTTTCTCAGGTTGGCACATAAATCTTTTCCATTCCCAACTTAGGATACAACTATTCAAAAAACTACATAGTTTAATCCCTCGATGAGCATATTTGGAAGTTGTTGATCAATATATACATATGATGTTCAAATCGAGCCACCATCAAGCTTTACTTGATTTACTCGATCATGTTTCATTAGATTAAGAGTTATGCTAATTTCATATTTATTGTCACAATAAGGTCTCAGTGGGCTGTTCCACTAAATCTTCAAATTTTATAGAATGATTTTCAAACGAATTAGTTTTTGAAGAATTTCTTAATTGATTGTTCTTCTTGTTTTAAAAGACGACACTACATCTACTGCTATATATATATATATATATATATATATGCACACTAAAAAAATATCTAATGAAGGAAATAACTAACTAGCTTTATTCCTTTCTAAATTTTAGGAAATATAATGATAGGAGAATAGTTCTTTTCTAAAAATTAGAAAATAGACTCATAAGAGAAGATTACAATTGATCTCTCCTTTTATTTCCTAAAATAAAAACAAAATCATAGGAGAAGATCACAATTGGTCTATCCTTTTATTCCTATGGATACTTTCCTAAAATAAATTCCCTAATTTTATTTTCAAATATTCAACACTCCTCTCGAGCTGGAGAATATATATATATATATATATCAATTCAACCTTGCAAATTAAGTCTTTAAAGTTAGGTCTTGGTAGAGCTTTGGTGAGGATGTTTGTTTTTTGCTTGTTAGAGATATATTTCAATTTAATTGTCTCGCTAGTCACCTTATATGTGATGAAGTGTCTATCAATTTCAACGTGCTTAGTCCTGTCATGATACACAGGATTATTAGCTATGTTAATAGCTTCCTGACTATCACACGTTATCAGAATAAGAGATCAACTCATTTGTCCAAGTTCACTAAGAACCATTTTTATCCAAATTGCTTCACAAATTCTCCATGACGGTGTACTCAACTTATGTACTACTTCTAGCTACCATTGATTGATTTTTACTCCTCCATATAATAAGATTACCCCATACAAAAGAATAGTATCCAGATGTTGACCGTCTGTCAATGATGTTTTCTGTCCAATCTGCATTTGAATTCACTTCAGTTTCATGATTCTTTATCTTTTTGAAGAATAGACCTTTTTCATGTGTCATCTTCAAGTATCTAAGAATCTTGTAGAATGCTTCCATGTGTTCATCTGTAGAATTGTGCATGAATTAACTTACAACACTTCTTGCAAAACCAATATCTAGCCGAGTGTGTGAAAGATAGATTAGATGTCCAACAAGTCTCTGATATCTCCCACTGTCTATAGATGTACTTTCTTTTTTGGTGCCAAATTTCTTTTGACTGTCTGTAAGAGTATCAACAAGGTTGCATCCAAGCATATTAGTCTCCTTAAGAAGATTTTGAATATTTTTCCTTTGAGAAACCATATTGTCCTTTCTTGATCTAGCCACTTTCATTCCAAGGAAATATTTAAGATTTTCAAGATCTTTAACTTCACACTCTTCAGACAAATACTTCTTCAAATTATGTAATTTCTCTACATCATTTCTAGATAGAATAATATCATCGACATATAGTATCAATATAGCAATTTCCCAGCTTGAGATTTCTTGACAAGCATAGTATGATCAGCTTGTGTGTGTTCTTTTGGCACAAGCACAGGTTGAGAAGAACTTAATGACCCTGAGTGGGAAAAGGACATACACTCAAGAAAGAACTCGCAAACTTGATGTTCATTCATGTTCTTCCCCTGAACATGAGATTTGGGATATAATAACACATGTTCAAAGAAAGTGACATCCATAGTGGTGTAAAATCTTTTGTTGGTTGGAGAATAGCATTTGTACCTTTTTTGCCTTAGAAAAATTCACTTATTGGCTCTAGGATCAAATTTTCTACGACGTTGAGGATACACATGAACAAATTCCTTGCAACCAAATATCTTGAGGGGTATATCAGACGAAGTTGCACAAGCGTGAGGAAAAATTTTCATAAGAAGTTGACTTGTATATTGAAAATTAAGGATCTGGATGACATTTGTTTGATCAAATAGGTAGTTTTGAGAATGGTTTCCTCCAAAAAATAATTTGAAATATTAGAGGAAATCATATGACATCATGCAACCTCCAAGGATGTCTATTCTCGTGCTTAGCCACCCCATTTTATTGAGGTTTGTCAACACAAGAATGTATGTGGATAATCTCATGATTCTGAAGGTATGTGTTGAGACTACTAGTGAAGTATTTCCTAGCATTGTCTGATTAGAGTACCTGAATTCTAGAGTTTAATTGATTATGAACTATAAGATTGAAGGTTTGAAAAATTTGTATGATCATCAACAAATGTCAAAGACCATCAAGTGCTTGAAATATTTTTTATCGTTGAGGGACCCCACACATCACTATGGATTAAAGAAAAGTCAGCTGAAGGTTTGTATGGAATTTAAGTATATGCAGTTCGAGTATGCTTTGCAATCTGACAAGTTTCACAATGAAAAGATGCAGGACTCGAGAGTTCTTAATGGTTTTGTCTGAGAAATTTAATGTAATGGATACTAGAAATTCATATGAAGTTGTCTATGGATTATTACTTGAAGAGTTGAAGGTTTCTCATGACCATTAGTAGAATTTTCAACTAATAAGTCTCATGTCACTCATGTCTCTAATATTACTCTGATAATTTTGGTTTTTTTATAGAAGTTTGTTGTTGCAACAACAATGAATGCTCAGGTCTATTGGAACAATATTGGTTAAACAATTCATTAAAGTAAATATAAATTAAAGCTAGGCACATTGATGTGAACCTAGCCTCCTTATTTCCTTTGACCTCTCTCATGCATTATGCGTGGGAGTTTTGTGCTTTTTTGCAGGATTTTGGGCATTTGTTGAACATCAATCTTTTGTCGTAGCAAGATTCTTATGCCAAACTTAATGGTTTTCTAAAGGAAGATTTGCGAACTTTCTCCATCTCTATTGTGAATCGCAACTCGAGAGTGATTTTGATTTGTGACTTTATAGTTTTAGTTGCTAGATGTGGCAATATTCATACTACTTGAATTTTATGCATGCAAATTTGATAAATTGACTTGATCGTTGAATAGAGTTTTATTAAGTTTATTACTATTATAAATATGAATCTTAGTCTTGTACAAAACATAATCTATTTTGTTTTTGGATGAAATTCTAGTTGGATTTGCTATTTCTTATGATTATTATATCAAGTGAGAGACTTGATGGTTTTTGGGTGAGGTTATCTCCTTGTACATATGTGAGGCTTGATTCTTATGCTTTAAGGGATTTCTTTTCTTTTGCTTTTCTTGACACTATAAATTGTGTTATTTAATTATTTTTTTCTAAGTGTGGTGCCGTGCAATATATTTTAACTAGCTTGTGAATTTTAGCTCTTAGTTTTTTTTAATTTAGTTGTTTCTTCTAGAAGATCATTTGTTTTTTTTTTTTCAATCTTCATCAAACCCAGTAATAATTATTAAAATTTAAGAGTTTTCACCTAATAAAATGTACTTGTCGCCTGATCTTGTACATCTAATAATAGATATGCAGTAAAGGCTCTAAAAAGAAAGCGGAAAAGGTTTGGATTTAGATGGAATGCTATGAATGGGGAATATCTTATTAGGGTCAGATTTTTTGTGCACGGTGGGTTGGGTTTGATTGGGAGAAAGGGTCAAATGTTACCATTGTTTATGACTAGACATTATTAGAATGCAAAAGCATATTCTTATTGAATTTTTTGTATTAGTCCAAAAATATTGATATATTTGTTCATATGCACTCAAATTAAGTTAAATTCTGTAGACTTATTTAAATAGGCGAAATCCGTAACTATGGCATTTTTCTTTATTGAGGTGAGATGTAAGCTTCAAGGCAAATCGAGGCATAAGCCTCAAACTAGAAATTAAAAAAAAAAACTCATAAATTAAAGTCAGTTCATAATTATGCCACAGAGTATAAAAAAACAGTTAAAAAGAAATTTAAGTTCTTAACCCTAAAAGAAAGAAGAATCAAAACAATTGAAACAAAGGAAAATCAATTTAAAAGATTAAAAATGTAAAAAAACAAAAGAAAGAAAAACCATTTAAGAGAAAACTAACAAAATCAGTTAAGAAGAAAATAAAATCTGCTAAAAAAATAATTAATTTTTTTTATAAAAGAACTTAAAAGAATGAAGAAAACTACTTAAAATAAAATGAAAAAAAGAAAATAAAAATTAGCTAAAAGAATAAAAAATATTAAAATCTTGGAAAAGCAAAAACTTAAACCCTTTATTCCTAAAACTGGTTTAAACTCTAAAACTTAAACCCTCTTATATACTACTAAAAAGAAAATTTCTTTATTAAGTATATGCTAATTTAAGGTGTTTGCCTCATTCGACCTGATGTGTATCACCTTCAGGAGTTCGCCTCAAATGAAAATAACGGGAGCTTCATTTTGCTCAGAAAATCTTAAGCTTTGAGGTGCTTATTGGACATCTATTGGTGAGGCTTGCTTTGAGGCGAGTGCCTCGAGCAGTCAAGAGTGAAGTTATGAAGTCGTGATGCTGATGCAATTGTTGCCTTTTGTATTCTAAAATGGTGTAATTAGTGCAACGGTTTCCTTCCTTCTCTACTTTTGGGTCACAGAGAGATGGATATATGTGACCTTATATTATGCAGGGCCCAAACTTCTCTCTTCTATGGGCAAAAATTCTCAACTTAAAGTTTTGTTTGTTGTTGGTAAACTTTAGCTAGTAAAGCAGGACCATTTGTGTCATTCTAATTTATCTTCAGAATTGTTTCCCTTTTTTCCTTATAGTTGATCTATTTATTGCATAGAATTTTTGACAATTTGTTGCTAGTTTTACTGATATGATTTCTCTCCTCCTGCTTTTTGTTTCCATTTTGTGAACGGGTTCATCTGTTTTATTGTCATTACTCACTTTTTAAATTATATAAAACAGGGGAATTTGCTTGCTTATCTGTGATTTTATTTCAGTTTTGACAACGATTAATTTCTGTTCTCTTGTAATAAAGACTTACATTCAGATGGAAAGAAAGCATGATATTGCAGAGGAAGAACAAATATATCATGCTCATTCTAACATATCAAATAACTTGGGTAATCCGGTCAAACCTGCCCGTAACTCTTCTTGTCCATCTGAATCCGGATGTGAGCAGACAGACGTGCGTGAAGTCCTAGCAAATGGTCTCCCAAATGATATAAATCTTTACAGACAAGATGTTGTCAGACACATCAAGCATGAAGGCTCGCTTGGAGTGGTTATGGAAGTGGCCGGCGATTTGGATTCTGAAGGCAGTATTACTGATGACAGTGACATTGATGATAATGCAGATGAGAATAATGTTTATGATGGTGTAGATGCTGACGATGCTAACAAAAATGGTGAGATGTATGATGGGGAGAAGAATGAAACTCTTCCAGATGGCCAAGTTAGAATACTGTGGACAGATGGGTCCGAGTCTACAGACAATATTAAAGATGTCACTGTTGTAGATAGGGGTTTCTTGCACGGGGATATTGTTGCTTCTATTGCAGATCCAACTGGACAATTGGGCCTTGTTGTGGATGTCAGCATCAGGGTTGATCTGCAAAATTCTAATGGAGAAATAATACAGAATATTTCCACTAAAGATCTCAAACGCATCAGAGAATTCACTATTGGAGATTATGTTGTCCTTGGACCATGGCTTGGCCGTGTAGATGATGTTTTAGATAATGTGACTGTTTTGTTTGATGATGGATCTGTTTGTAAAGTTGTAAAAGCTGATCCATTGAGACTCAAGGCAGTTTCAAGACCTGTCATTGATGATGCAAATTCTCCATACTACCCTGGTCAGCGGGTCAGGGCGGTTTCTTCTTCGGTTTTCAAGACTTCTAGATGGCTTTCTGGCTTGTGGAAAGCTAACCGCCTTGAAGGTACTGTTACTAAAGTTCAGTCAGCATCTGTGATAGTTTATTGGATGACATCGGCTTACCTTGGTGTTGGCACTACTTCTGATGATGTTCCCTCTGAAGAACAAAATCCAAAGGATCTGACCCTGTTGTCTTGTTTTTCATATGCAAATTGGCAGTTAGGTGACTGGTGTCTCCTTCAAGCATCAGTTGCAAATAAGACCTTGGAATCTTTAAACCTTCAAGAGACCATGGAAGGTTGTGAGACAACATGCCCAAGAGAATGCTTAGTGGATGACTCTTTAGATTACGATTCAACGCCTAACACTAGAAGCACTGAACAAGTCTTGGCACTTCCGAATATACTTAAAGATAACGATCCATCTGAGACAGAAATCACACTACTTGCAGCAGTAGATTTTAAAAATAATGAGGATTCTCATAACAATGATGCTAAGGATCACCTAGTTGCTGAACAATTGATAGATGGCTATACACAGAATTCCTGGACATCAAAAGTTGGCAGTAACTTGAAGTTGCAGGACAGTGATTCAATGAATCAGGACAAAATGTCCGGTGAAAGTATTCTAACAGAGTCTATTGATGTGATGCCAGAGTGTGGTTCTTGCAGTATCTCATCATCCATTTCAAAGGAACCTGCTCATGATGGTTGGCCTGCATATCGCAAGAAACTCCGTAAAGTTTTATTTAAAAGAGACAGGAAAGCTTGTAGAAAAAATGAGACATTTGAAAGAGCTCTTTTTATTGTGAATACTGTAACAAAGGTTGATGTGGCCTGGCAAGATGGAACAAGGGAATATGGATTAGAATCCACATCTTTTATTCCAATTCGTGCTCCAAGTGATCAGGAATTCTTTCCTGAACAGTATGTGGTGGAGAAGGCCTCAAATGAAGCTGATGATTTGGCTGAAAATAATCGAGTTGGGATAGTAAAAAGTGTGAATTCAAAGGAGAGAACTGTTTGTGTTAGATGGTTTAAACCAGTTTCTAGTCCAGAAGATCCTCGAGAATTCTCTTGTTATGAAGTTGTAAGTGCGTATGAACTTGACGAGCATCCTGATTATGACTACTGCTATGGAGATGTTGTTGTTAGGCTGTCCCCAGCATCAACTACTGATTCATATCTGGAAATTCCCTCAAAGAATCTTGGAGAACAAGCTGATGTTGCAGAATCCGAGGCTGATGTATCTAAGAAACATATAGAATGCGATTCAGAATATTCAAAAGGTGAAGCATGGGCGAAATTTAGATCTCTTTCCTGGGTAGGAAATATAACAGGCCTGCAAGATGGTGATATTGAGGTGTCATGGGCTGATGGGATGGTTTCAAAGGTAAACGTTTTTTACCCTAGGTGTGCAAAAGTATTCTTTTCTAAAGCTCGTTTGGGACGGCTTTCTTACTGCTTCTTAAAGTAGTATAAAAATTAAAATTTTTGCATTAGAAAGCTGCTTTAAGTAGCTGTATACGGATGCTAGCTTGCTGAAATTATTATTTTTCCCTTTTTTTTTCATAAATGCGCTTCTTTTTGTTTATTAGGTTGGCCCTCAGGCTGTTTATGTTGTTGGTCGAGAAGATGATGAAGACTCGTTTGAAGGTGGAAGTGACATTAGCGATGACGGTGCTAGTTGGGAAACAGTTAATGAAAATGAAATGGATGATGATGCTGAGAAGGTTTTCATATCCTTTTTCAATTTATTAGTAGCTCAAATGTTTTCTTGCTAGCTGTATACTGATTTTAAACTTATTTTGCCCAGGAAGCTGATTCACAAAGTGCCAACAATATTCCTGCTTGTGAAAACTTGCAGGACATTCCTGAAGAAGATACTGTTCCAGGGAAAACAGGGGCTCTTTCTGTATCTCTTGCTGCTATCAACTTTGTTACCAGATTGGCCACAGGATTGTTTTCAAGGAATAGAAGACATTCAGATTTATCAAATTCAGATCACAATGACCTCGGTGGTTTGGAAGCTCAGGATAGTCCAGTGGTTACAGTCAACGGAACAACAACTGACACAGATTTAGAGGCTTCTGAGAACCAGAGTCAAGTGGAAACAACCGGAGATGCTGAAAGGGTGGCAGCTGTAATGACTGAAAGCTCAACATCAGATTCTGCTAGTCCAGGAGCACATTCACAGGGTGGGACGGAGAGCTTTAAACATTTTGACATCAGTGATACTCCATCAGATAATTATTTTTTAAGCAACATTGGGCAGGTAATGTAGTTTTTCTTCTCTTCTACTCCATGTTCACTACAAATCGTACATTAGCAAATTACATGGTTAGCATCATCATTAGCCCTAGTTTAACTATTTGGGCTTTGACTTTCCTCTTTGCCGTTCTTTCTGCTTATAGAAGTTGCATTTGGATTCAATTCTAGTTAGATAATTATGAACAATCTCTGAAGAGATCAAGCTTGGCATTTATATTTCACTTATAACCTACACTCAAAACTTATCCCTAGAAGTTATTTGGACCATACTTAATGTTCTTTTGCTCCACATGGTCAAAATTTTCAATCTCTTCTCCATTTGTCTTGCGACTAATAGGTGACATACTAACGGTGGTAATTATAACAAGTTTAAATGTTGAAAACCTCATTTTCTATGGGCGGATTTCGGATTGCATGTATGATGTATCATTGATTACTAAATCAATCGAGCTGCAGGGTAGTGGCGAAAGGAAATGGGTCAAAAAGATTCAACAGGAGTGGAGCATTCTTGAGAAGAATTTGCCAGGTTACATGGCTTGAGAATTATGTTACCTGTAAAGTTTTATTTTGTGAATTCTTGTTTGCAACTTTAAATTGTATGCTTCTGGATGCAGATGCTATTTACGTGAGAGCTTATGAGGACCGAATGGACTTATTAAGAGCTGTGATAGTAGGAGCTTCTGGAACTCCTTATCAAGATGGTCTTTTCTTTTTCGATTTTCATCTTCCACCTGAATACCCTCAAGTTCCTCCGGTTGGTGCTTTTTTTTAATTGTTTTTGGTGTAAACTTACACTGACCCTCATATTTGCATTGAATTGTGGATTATTCTTATTATTTTGAAGTCACTAGTCAGACGGGGCTTCTACAGTTTATGGTAATTTGCATTTAAATTTTTTCCATTAACTATTTTGTCACAAAGCTAAAATGATATTCTTACACTTTCTAAGAGAATTAATTTGGTCTCTTAATTTTTCAAAATATGCAACTTGGTCCCTCTTCCCCCCTCCCTACATATTCATGCTTACCCATGGATTGTGGTGCGTGGAAGCATCACCCACCCCTTCTCTCTTACCAGCTACACAAAATCTCTTTCTCCCCGCCCTCCAACTATGCCTGAATTGAGGTGGTTAGACACCTTCTTCCACAATCTCTTACTCATATTTTATCTCTCTTCTCCAGTAAAAAAATTGAAAGGTAGCGAAGGATTTTTTTAACTAAATAAAGAGGGATTTACGTACAAAACACTCAAAACTTAAGGATATGTGCATACTGAACACCTAAACTTCCCTATCTTTAACAATCCTTCAACTCCCATTAACGGTCTTGAAGACGCTCTAGACAATGAAGAGGATGTTGCGGCAGGCCAAGATGAGTTCTTGCTAGATGAAGAGGAAGAGAAGACAAGGAAGTCACATTACGATCTCATCGGGAAGGGTCGTGAGGGGATCTTGCTAGAGAAATTTGGCTGGGATTTCTAAGAGAAGCGGGAAAACTCCATCTCCTTGACTCAGATGTTAAATTTTTTTTGTAAGTAACCTGATTCCTCTCAATGCACGTTGCCGGTCCCAGCCAAGCTTCGTTGATGCTGAGGCACCTTTACCCGTTGCTTGACGCCGACCATCGCACCTCTTGCTACCGTCGTCTCAGATTTGTCACCCGTAGCCAGTTCTGTCGCAGGCTCCAGCCCACCGTTATCGTGTCTAGCACCACCGCCCAACTAACGAAATTGTAATGAAGAAGGTGAGGTGGGTTATTTTAGTGTTATTTAAAAATTTGAGTGTTATGTGTGTTAGTGAATGATAAATATGTAAATCATATAATTTTGAGCGCTTATTGTGTGATAGAAAAGTACCGCTCAAACTTAAGGGAAAATTCTATAAGATGGTGGTTAGACTTGCAATGCTTTATGGTGTAGAATGCTGGTCATTAAAAGAGATGCATAATATAAAGTTAAGTGTTGCAGAGATGAGGATGCTCAGGTTGATGAGTGGCTTTACTCTTAGAGACATGGTACGAAATGAGCATATACGTGAAAAGGTTGGAGTAGCTCCAGTGGCATATAAGATTAGAGAGAGTCGCCTTAGATGGTTTGGTCACATAAAATGGCGGCCTTTTGATAACCCGGTTAGGAGAGTAGATGTATTAGATTTTATCTATATTAAGAAAGGTAGAGGTAGACTTAAAAAGATTTGGTTAGAAAATTTTTGAAATGACATTTCTTTATTAGATCTACATGAGAATTTGACTCTTAATCAGACACAATGGAGAAAAATAATTCATGTAGCCGACGCCACATAGTGGCATAAAGGCTTGATGTTGTTGTTGTTATTGAATGTATGAAAATCTCCTCAAAATAAAATAAAAGTTAATGCAAGTTCTTAAAGGTTTCTGGTAAGAGCTCTTTAGTGGCTGTTTATTTTTATTTTAGTTCACTGTTATTGACTCCAAAGATTTTTGTGCTATCTAGAATAATCAACAATGATTCTATACATTTTTCCCTTATGTTTTTTAGCTATCAAAATTAAAATTATAATTTTTTTCACTGCGTAGTTTCTACATGTGAACCCCTATTTAGTGCTTATAATTTGTTTTCTCATTTCCAGCAAGCGTACTATCATTCTGGTGGTCTGCGTGTAAACCCCAATCTCTATGTGGACGGGAAGGTTTGCCTAAGCCTTTTGAATACCTGGACGGGCAGAGGAAATGAAGTGTGGGACTCTTCATCTTCAAGCATCCTTCAGGTGTTAGTTTCTCTTCAAGGTTTGGTTCTTAATTCTAAACCGTACTTCAATGAAGCTGGATACGAAAAGCAAGTTGGAACAATAGAAGGGGAGAAGAATTCCATACCCTACAATGAGAACGCATATCTACTGAATTTGAAGTCAATGCTGTATATCATGCGTCGCCCTCCCAAGGTATCCTACCTATAATATTCTTTTACCTTATTTATAAGACCTTAATTTGATCACATGAGTTTTGATGAAATGAGTGCAATATAATAGTTGATTGATTGATTATTCATGCAGTGCATTCAACTTAAAGCAATTCTAATGACTAGAAGATACAGCTTGGCCAAATTTGGATGAAAATATACAACAACAACATCAAGCCTTTGTTCCACTACGTGGGGTCGGCTAAATGACCATTGTGTCCCGTTAAAAGTCAAATTCTCATTTAAATCTAATAAAGAAAGATCATGTCTAATATTTTATAACCAAGTCTTTTTAGGTCTAACTCTACCTTTCTTAATATAAGTCAAATCTAATACCTCAATTTTTCTAACCCGGTCAACGGAAGGCCTCCGTTTAATCTTTAATGTGACCCAAAATTTGGATAACAATATATTGACCCAAAATTTCTCATTCATTTTAGTGATGATGAATTTATTGCTTTTTGTGAAATTTTGTAATGATTCTTCATGGTAAAATATCTAATATTTTACCATCTAATTTTGAGATAAACATGAACCAAATTTGATTACAATAAATTTTAAGTCATTAGATTTTATTTTAGATGAGTGCAATATGAGAGTTGATTGACTCTGTATTATATTCATCTCAAAATAACTTTATGATGAGAAAAATCGCCTAAGTTTATGAAAAACATGACCTAAATTATATCATATTGGATTCGCTTTAAGACGATAAGAGCTGCTTAATTATTCATATATTGCACTCATCTTATAATTAATCTGCCGACTAAAAAAGAAGCCAAGAAGCCATATCGACCGTATTTGGATCTGGATAATTTGATTCAAAATTTCTTCTAATTTTTATGATGTTAACTGTTCTTGATTTTTGTTGAAATCAATCTGCAGCATTTTGAAGCTTTTGTCAAGGATCACTTCCAAAGACGTGGCTATTATATCCTCAAAGCCTGTGAGGCTTACATGGCTGGTTGCTTAATTGGGACACTTACCAAGGACGCCTGCACAACTGAAAAGAGTAAGGAACAGTCCTCTTCTGTTGGTTTCAAGCTAATGTTAGCTAAAATCTTGCCAAGATTGCTTGCCTCATTAACTGAAATTGGAGTCAATTGCCATCAATTTGAACACCTAATCATGTCTTAAAAAAACTCTCATTTAAATCAATCCATCTTTTAATTCAAGGCTTAGGCTTCTGAGACTCTGTTCTTGGCTGCTGTGAAAATATTTTTCCAGCTTGGAAATGAAGGGCTGTGATTATATAAGCCCTGCATTCAAATTTCTTTTTTGTATTATTCTCTCTCTCTCTCTCTCTCTCTCTCTCTCTCTCTCTCTTCCTTTGTTTTATCTGCTGGCATTGTTTGAAATTGTTCAAAATGAAAGAGAGAAGATGATAAAAACCTGTAGCGGTATAGGTGGTAATTGGTGTCATTGCTCATCAATGAGAATTTGATGTTTTCATAGGCTGGAAGTTAAACATTGTAATTATATGCACATTTGATCTCTTATTGAGGCCATTTTGAGCTCAGCCTGTTTTCTTTGCATATCTTTTTAGCTAAACTAATTATCTCACAAGACTTGATCAGATCTTTTCTGAAATAGCTTCAGCTGTTGGTCTTATTAAGCTCTGGTTTGGTTTCTTCTTATGATAAAAAGTGCCAAGGCTTTGTGATTTTAGCTTCGTTTTGGATAATTTTCTTATTACTTTTTAAAGCAATTTTATAGCATAATTTTTTTTTTTTTTAACTAAAATTTTTTTACTAAAAATTTGGTTTAAAAAGTAATAAAAAAGCTGTCTTGTTGCTTGCTAACTTGTCTATGTTTTAAAAAATAAATACATTTTTGGTGCTTATTTAATTTAGTTATAAATTCATGTAATTGTATACTAATTAATATTGATGAAGAAATCTTTTTATATTTACTAAATTCTATGTAAATTTGTATTTTATTAGATTAGTTGAATTTCATATATCATGCAGCCTATTTATGCTCATAAATGAAATTATTATAATTTTTTAAAATGTTTGTTCTCTATTTTGTTTGATGCTTAAATGGTTAGTTAGTTAAGTATAGCCATTGGAAGATTGATTAAATTCAAATATGGCTATTTGGGAGGCTGATTTTGGGTTGCTAATGGAATTCTAAATCACTCTATTATAATTATACTTTAATAGATTAATGATTTCACTTATATTTTTATATTAAAGTCAAAATATTTTAAGCATTATGAAGATATCTTCTCTAATGAAAAGCAAATAAATATTTATTATCTTAGTCATTTAAGTTCAAGTTCAATGGTAACATCTCTCTATCCTAGAGCTATTTCCTGACATTGGTTCAGGCTTCATTTGGAATGATTTTTTTTATTGCTTCTTAAAGTAGCTTTTTAGTATAAGGTATTCAATTCAAATTATTACAACAATTAAAATGAGTTAAAGTTGTGTTTGGGATGACTTTCTTACTGCTTCTTAAAGCAGTTTTCTGGTATAAAATTAAAAAAAAAAATTATACTAGAAAGCTGTTTTAAGAAGCAGTAAGAAAGCCGTCTCAAATGAAGCCTTAAGATACTAAGGGCTTATTTGGGATTATTCTAGCTTTTTATAAAAATGATTGATAAAACTATTATAATATTGCAGAAAAAGTAATTTTTCTGAAAATTCTTGTATAAAAAATCTTAGTAACATAGAAATTTTTTAAAAGAAGTAAAAATTAGTGACTAAATAAAAATTATAATTATAATTAAAAAATAAAGTAGCAAAAAATTAGTTCAAACAAATCTAAATAATAATAAATAATTCTAATTATTTTGTATTGAAAATTTAAAATTTAGTGAATAATAAGTTAATTTTATATTAATATTTTTGAAGGAAAATTTGCGTACATACCACTTTATTTTTTCATTATTTATATATCTAACATCAAAACATTAATATTACATATCTACTACACATATAAAATTTTAATATCAAATATATCTTTCTTATAATTTATTCATACTATTTATATCATCTTATAAATTTTAATATTTTATTATATGCAACAAAATTTATTCTATAGATGATAGATATGTATTATTAATATTTTAAATATTAGATATGTAAATAAATTTATTCTATGGATGATAAATATGTATTATTAATATTTTAAATATTAGATATGTAAATATCATAAAATAAAATGATATACATGAAAATATTTTTAATTTTATTTTTTAATTCAGAACGGTTGAGCTTTGCTTTGGCGGTATTAAATATAAGGCCTTCACAACATGAGGCGCTTTTTCGAGACCCAGATTCCTCTCGAGTTCCCGTGCTTTTCGTCGGTGGAGGAAACTGCAAGCCTGCTATGGATCCATCGTCGCAGAACTCCTCTGCCGCTGGCAATGGAATCCTTCCTACCCCGGCCGGCGGCGGTGGGGTCCACGTAAACACTCCGGCATCCACGCCCACCACGAACAGCGGGATCGCCGTTCTAGACCCTGCGGAGGAGCAGAAGCAGAATCTAATACAATCCATCAACTCGATCCAGAAGACCCTCGGCCTCCTCCACCAACTTTACCTCACCGTCTCGTCCTTCAACGTTGCCTCGCAGCTACCTCTTCTCCAGCGACTGTAACTCGCTTCCGCTACCCTTTTGCCCTTTCTTTCTCGTTTTCATGGCCCCTCGTTTTACTCTGTCTCATTAATGGATTCTTCGTCCGTGATACCATAGAAACTCGTTGGTCGCGGAGCTACACACGATGCAGAAGTTGGCGGAAAATTGTAACATCCAGGTGCCTATGGAAGTCGTCAAGTAAGATTTTTTTTTTCTAGGGTTTCTACGTTATTTATTTATTTAAATTTGTTCTCTTCTTATGTTTTATGATGTGTTGTGTGTATAGTTTGATTGATGATGGGAAGAACCCGGATGAGTTCACAAAGGATGTTATTAATAGTTGCATCGCAAAGAACCAGATTACTAAGGGAAAGACTGATGCATTCAAGGTACTTATAAGCTTTTTGTTCTGGTCAAAAGTTTGCGTATTGCAGTTTTGTTTGTTATATTACTTATTTTTTAGTTGAAGAATGGATGCCAATCATGAAACCTTTAAGAACACTTCCATTAAAGTGCAAAAGGGAAGTAATATCGAGACATCCATTGATGTTTAAATTACTTAGACCAACATAAGTTTCGTTTTCAACTTCTTAAATTTTATCAATGGATTTTAAATTGGTATCAATGAAATATTATTTTTCAGTTTCTTCTATCTATTTATGTTAATCATATGAATTTGAACTTTTAGGGTTACAACGAAAGTCAATGGTAGTATTGGATGTCTATATTTTGATGCCAATTCGGATCTAAGAGAGTTATTTATTTTCATCTAACTGCTATTTTATATTACTCAAAACCTATAATGAGCTATGTTAGTTTAATCAGGAAAATCTTGGCTGGCTGAATAACCAAGTTAAAATATGGCGAACCTTCTGGATCATGGCTCTCTCATTTAACTCATTGCAAATAAAATATAGATTTGTAACTGATTTTGTTGTTGACCTGTCGATGCTATTACTGACCTAATGATATTTTAGCTGTCCCTTGCAATTTTGTTGATTCATGCATCATGTCTAATACAAATTGTTGTCTTCTCTACCATTGGTGTTGATCCAATTCAATCATTAGCATTTTTTTAGATTGGCTCACTGCAGCTGCTCAATAGGTCAGCCTAATTAAGAGGTTATTGTATTGCTCTTGTTGTTTGATATAACAATCTATTTTAGTGTGATTAATTTAATGTAGCACTCTACCGCCATTCTCAAGTACTAGCAAAGAAACACCCCTTGATACCAAATTGAGCTATCATCCGTCGATTTCTCTCTCTTAAAGGGAATTGCACCTGCATTAATGAGTTGGTAAATAATATTTGTTTGTCCCTTGATGACATTTGAATTTTCTCTCTCCTTATACCTCTTAATGACCTCCAATGCAAGTTTTATTGTTGTTTATTTTAACTATCTTCGTTTGATACCATAATAATGTTTCATTATCTCCTTTGCAACCATTGCTCTGATATCATGCTTATTCTCTTGGGTGCTAGCATGGTCCGCTTGGGTTATCAATAGATCCTTATTTTGTTTTTTTACAATTCTCTTGGGTTCTTGTGCTATTTGCTTGGGCTCTTTCATGATTTGGAAACCTCTATTAGTGATTTCTTTTCAATTGCCATGTTTGGCATTTTGCAAGACCATTTGTTAGATAAGGTGAGTAGAGAATAGTTTTAATGTGAATATCATTACTTCTAACATCTATTCACATTCATTTTTGTCATGTTGGTAATTGGTATCCCTACATCCTAGATGCAAGAATATATACCAATTAATCCAAGATGAGGACCAAACCTACACATTTTATTGGACCTGTAATGTGGTTAGCCTAAACTTTTGCTACTATTTGAGTCTAAATTCCGGGAAGAGCCTCTTGGATCAGTTACCTTTCACTAGTAACAGTGTGTAGGTTTTCATATATCAGGAAGGAAATGATGGAAATTTATGGATCCAACACAAATTTTCGGCCAAATATCTCATATGTCAAAGTTTAAAAGCTTATGATTACTTTTGCCGGTGTTACTTTGTTTGCATTCATTTGCTTGAGCATAGGAAAATCTTGAGCATTTGAATACTACCTTGGTTGCATGTAGAGATGCATTGTGCATATGCATCGGCGAAGCCAGTGGAGGAACATTATTGTTGGAAGATAGATTGAGCTTGAAGCTATTGATCAGTAATTGACCGACGTATGTAATGAGCTTTGCATATTATTTAGAATTTACTGTCTAAGAAAGATAGAGAGAATTTGAAGAAATTCTTCCTGAAAACTGGACTAGAATCTCATTTCATATGGGAGACTTTCCATCATCTACATTCAGTTCAGTAGACAATCACTTGGGATGGAGAAAAATGGCCATACAGTAATTAGAAAATATGCTTTTTTACTGATGTATGCACTTAAATTAAGTGGTAGAATGATCACTTATCCCTTCAACATACCCTTCTCTGGCCCTCTTCTATTATTGAACCCTTTTTCTCTGCATCTCTGAATTCCGGACACTTTTTGGTTTTTCTGGTTCATAGTACCTTGGCTTTCCTTCTTTTTCTTTCTTAGTTACTAGCCATTTTTATGATTCCATCTCACATAGCACTTGCAACATCATGGCTACCACCTATGCAGGTCTTGTCAGAGCACTAGGAATTTTCCTCTCTTCATCATTCTCTCTTTATATCACTATGGCCACCACCGCTCATTGTCCATTTTAGCCGCTCCATTACTATGCTTCCACATCTCTAATGGCCCCGCCTTTGGTTTCTTCAATAGATTGGAGAATGTGGTTGGATTGGGCTTGGTAACTAAATGTTTCTTGGCATAGATGCTGAAACTTAAAAATTGAATCATTTTGAAATCTTGTTTTGTGGGTTTTAATCTGACTATAAACAGGCTCGTTCAAGGAACAACCTGACAGTCCCAAAACTGATTCCTTTCCATTTTCTCTTATGTAGTATTCTGGTGTTGGTGCTTATTCTGATAAGTTTATTTCCCCTGCTAGTTTAGAGAACCTCTGCTCATCAATTTGCTGGAAAAAATGCATATATTCAGGCTATTTTGTTGTTCGTTCATCATGTTTCACGAAAGGGTTGTTGACATTTCTCTAATTTACTTGCTACGTGCATGTGAAGTTATCTGTGATTTTTAACTGGTTTGCTGAATAATTTATGTGGTACTGATTAGTTAATTTAGCTAAATAAATTCACCTGCGTAATGCATTTAAAACTCATATTATGCTGTTCTGATGACAATATATTTTTGGAATGTCAAAACTTGAATTCTGTCTTTTTAATGACTTGGGGGCTGCTCTTACCATTTATCATGGTGAAATAGCTCGCTTGTAACATGGCCATAAAACATGTATTCTTTGACCAATTGTTTACTTAATATTAACTTTAAATGGCTTTTTTTAAAAAAAAATTGGTGCTGCGCCTTTCTTCTTTTTTGAACTCTAAATGTGTAAGTCTATTTTACATAAAAAAAGTTTCTCTTTCCTTTTCTTTAGGTTATTTTTTATTTTTGGATGTTAATTCCTTTGTGCTATATATTTTGATAGCTATGGAAGAACTTACCCAAACTTTTGTTCTCCTTCGCTATTTGTAGAGTCTGCGCAAGTACCTTTTAGAGGAACTTGAACAAGCATTTCCTGATGAAGTTGAATCATTTCGAGAGATAAGGGCAAGCTCTGCAGCTGTAAGTCACTTGAGCTTTTCTAAGCCTACTAAAATCATAAACAATGGATACTTAAAAGATGATTTCTGCTATACATGATGAATTTAACGTTATGGAAATAAACATGTTGAGCATGAACTTCTGGAAGAATTTTCTAAGTTTATATTTTATAATGTTAACCCATAATAGCAACTCATATTTTCTTATAGTATACTTTGTTGGAACTGAACTTATATAAGCTACCTAGCTTATATATGCAGTGTGCTATGTTCATCTTGGTGCATGTGTTATCCTGTTCATAAAATAAAACGTCAATACAGTGAACTTTCTGATCCTGCCGTACTTGTTTGATCAAATATTGATTGCAATGTTTAACGAAAGCAGTTGTTTGCATGTATAAACTAGAGTGACTTTTCTATAAATTCAGAGACCTGCAATGAAGTTAAACATAGAAGCATATAGCATTGCAGAAAATCAAAGCCAAATTATCTGTAATATCATCTTTATTTTCATTCACATCACATGCTACAGTTCATATATATATATATATATATGAAACTTAGTAAGGGAATCAGAATCAGTTATACATCAATGGTGTGGTTGGCTGTAGCAGAAAACCAACTGTAGAGATGATTGAATCTGAAAGGCATGTCGCAGCAGAACAGGCGGAGTACTGCGCCATAATATGAAGAAGTGCCTAACTTATCACACTGTCTTATCATCCCCCTCAAGTTGATAATGGGAGTTTGAATTGTTAAATTGTGCCAAAGTTGCGCAGAGCGAGTAAAGCTGAGAGATTTGATAAACAAGTCAACTGGTTGATCTTGGGAAGCTACGTCATGGACTGTAATGCACTGCAGTTTGATATTGTCTCTAATTAAATAAAAATCAATCTTGATATGCTTTGTTCGAGCATTAAAGACAGAATTGTTCGCTAAAACTAGTGCTGAAACATTATCACAAAACAACTTGTTTAGTATAGGTAGAGAAATGCAGAATTCAGACAATAAATGTCTTAACTAGATGATGTCACCCGCAGCTGTAGCTAAAGTTCAATATTCAACCTCAGTAGACCTATCAAGAATGGTTTGCTTTACTGCACCAAGAAATCAATGTTGTTTCAAGAAAGGCACAATAGCCGGTAATGGAGCGCTGATCGGTGGTATTTGCACCCTAGAGTCAGCATAAGCATGCAATTCAAGCTTTGAGAATGAAATGGGTAAACTAAACTGTAACGTGCCGCAAAGATACCGAAGTATGTGTTTTGGCAGCTGAAAATGAAGTTGAAGAGGGTTGTGCATATGTTGACACAAATAGTTTACAGCAAAAAGATTATTTGGTCTAATGATTGTTGGGTAGTATAAAGAACCAACAAGTTGCCAATAATATTCAATTTGAGGGTAGGTTTTAGTAGCACCAACTAAGGTAGGTAATTTGGTGGGTAAAGGTGTGGGAGCAGGTTTACTTTTGGACATTCCAGCTTTGTTAAGTAATTCAGCGGCATAGCGAGCTTGATTGAGATGAATAACTGTGTCAGTGTGAATGATTTTGCAAATCAAGAAAGTGAGCTAACTGACCAAGGTTTCTCATGGGAAATCGAGCTTGCAAAGTAGAGAGATGTGCAGCAATAGCGGGGTATCATTATCGGTAGGTAAAATATTATCTACATACACCAGAATATAAATATGAATAGAGCTATGATTATAGTGTAAAAGGGAAGGATTAGCAGAGCTTACTTGAAAGCCAAATTGAATCAGATATGTGGTGAAAGTTGCAAACTACTGTCGAGAAGCCTTCTTAAGCCTATAGATGGCTTTCTTAAGTAAATAAACATGATTAGGAAATTGCAAGTTTTGAAAACCAGGAGGCTGCATCATGTAGACGGTTTCATCAAGTTGCCCATGAGAAATGTATTAGAGACATCAACTTGAAGAATAGACCAATGGGAGGTAACGAACAAGATGAAGAAAATCCGAATGGTAGGGAGTTTGGCAAAGAGACTAAATGTTTTATGATGATCTAAGCCAAACTCTTGCTTAAATCATTGAGCAACCAAACAAGCTTTGTATCGAACAATTGTGCTATATGAATTAAATTTCATTTTTATAGCCATTTGCAACCCAAGATGTTTTAATTTGGGGAGGACTGAACTAGAACCCAAGTGCCTTGACTTTGTAAACTTTCAAATTCAGCATCATAGCTGCTCTCCAAACAGGATACTTAACCGCTTGGGAGTAGCGGGATGGATTAGTTGGAAATATAGTATGTTGAAGATCGAAAACTTGTTTTTATTAGAGACTTCCTGTTCAAAACGAGTTAGCATTGGGTAGTGTGGTGCAGCAGGTGGTGTAACTGATATAGCTGAATCAGGTGAAGAAGTAATTGGAGAAGTATTTACAAGAATGGTTGTGGAGGCTGGTGCTGAAGTTGTAGGCGAAGATTCAGTGGTAAATATCCCCTCCAAACTTGTTATTATTTAAAAATTGAATTAATCTAAATAGATGAAGTTATCTGTGAACTATTGAAAAATTGGATGAATATAAAAAATAAGTTCTATAAAACTATATAATATAAATTCATTAATATTGTATTATATAAATATAAATCTATTATAAATAATCACTTTATAAATAAAGTAAATCATTGCACTGAGCATAAAAAATTGATTAAAATATGTTTAGATATATTGAGAAGCCTAAACTTGAATTAATAAAATTACAAATAAAAACTTCTTAAATCTTGATTGAAAAATATTTCGTTTTAATATTTATTTTTTATGAATATTTACGATCTTATTCATGAGCTTTTTAAACAATATTTTTCATGGTCATAAACGAGTTGAACATTAGGATGTTCAATCTTTTTCAATTAACAGTCGAGTATTTATGAAAATATTCATGTTTGTTTAGTTAGTTAATTAAACAAATATGAATGAGCTCTTATTTAAGTCAAATCATGAATAGTTTGTCGAATGCTCGGTTCATTTGTAGTGTTATAGACAAGTGTGGTGAAAACGGGATGATAATGGCTGGAATGCTCAAGAGCATTTAGTTAGGCTTCAAAGTACAGTTGTGATGCTCTAGATGCCTGATTGAACCTCAATTGAATGAGCTTGTGGTTGGAGAGAGATAATTGGCTCGTGCTACCCTCTTTTGGGTTCAACCTTGTGTTAGGCGCTCGCATTTGGTCTAGTTGAGTTGGAGGGGTGGCTATGTAGCTAAGGCATGCTAGCCAGATGTTCAAGTTGGGCTAATTGGGTTTAATTGGTTAATTGAGTCAAATAGGTTCAATTAGGCTAGACTTGGGTCAATTCAACCTATGCACTTGAAAACTACGCACGTCAGTAAGCGAAGCCGGTTTCGGCCAATCCCGAATGGCCGAAATTTTTCTGTAGAGTAGTTTTAACTCCTTCCGGTGTCAACACAAAGCCCAGAAAGTTGACGCTAGCGACGACAAATTCACACTTAGCCAAGTTAAGAAATAACTTATTGTCGCGAAGCGTATCTAGGATTAATTTGAGATGGCTAATATGCTCGTCTAAAGACGTGATGAATATTAAAATATCATCAAAATAGACTAGACAAAACTTGCCTAGGTGAGGTTTCAAGACTTCGTGCATAAGCCTCATAAAAGTGGATGGAGCATTACAAAGCCCAAAGGGCATGACCTTCCATTCGAACAACCCTTCGATGGTCTTGAACACGGTCTTCCATTCATCCCCTGCTCGGATGCAGATCTAATGATACCCACTCCTCATGTCAAGTTTGGAGAAAATGGAGGAGCCATATAGCTTGTCCAAGAGGTCTGTGATTTGCGGGATGGGAAATCAGTATTTAATGGTAATGCGATTGATAGCTTGATTGTCGATGCACATGCGCCATTGTCCATCCTTCTTTGGAACAATCAAGGCAGGGACCGCGCAAGGACTCAAGCTCGGCTGTATGAATTGCTTATCAAGTAATTCCTACACAATTTTCTGCAATATGGCATGCTCTCGGGACTCATGCGGTAATGTGGAAAATTGGGTAAAACTGCACCTGGAAGTGGCTGGAACCAACTCAATTTGGTGTTGGATTTCTCGGAGGGGCGGTAAGGCAGGAGGCAACTCTGTTGAGGTAATGTCCTAAAAGGAATCAATCAACTGCTGAATTTCGTTGTGCGGGGAAGAGGCTGTTTATTCAGACACATCTGAAGTCACCAAGGCAAACATTGGACAATCCAAATCTTTAAGCTGTAGTAGTTCACTCCCAACTATAATACAAGCGGACGTGAGGCTGGCTGGGACGGTACCTTGCGCTGGACTAACTGGCATCAGCTTCAGCTTCTTCCCCTTTACCTCAACGGTGTACGTATTCGCCCGACCATCGTGTATAGCACAAGCATCATATTGCCAAGGTTTACCAAGAATGAGGTGGCACACATCCATTTCAAGAACATCGCAGGTGACTTGGCATAAGTACCTCTTGCCGATAGTGAAGGTGACTTTGCAGAGATCGGAGACGAGGAAGTCAACTCCCTTTTTAACCCAATTGATTTTGAAGGGAATCGGATTTCTCATGGTCTTAATTTGTAGGGCCTGGATTGTGGTCTTGAAAATGATGTTTTCTGTACAACCACTGTCAATCACCAAATCACAAACCTTATCTTTAATGGTACACTTGGTGCGGAATAAATTATGTCTCTGTGTCTCGACTGGTTTCCGCATTGCCAAAAGCAACTTCTCCATAATGCCTAGGATTGGTTCCCCTTCGTCGGCCAATACTTCCTCTACCCATTCTTCTGTGTCATCTTGCATACTGGACTGATCAACTTCATCCTCTCCTTTGGCTAGTTGTAATTGGTGTCGAGATGGACATTCATTGGACTTGTGTCCGGGTTGTAGACACCTAAAGCATTTTATGACAGTGGGTTTTGCATATGGGTTATCCCGCAATGGAGCTCTAGGACTAGCTAGCCCCTTCACTTCGGGTGTCATGTTAGCCGCAACAGAGGATGCCACGGGTTGGAGCTTGGGTTGTGGTGTCGCCGTTCTGGACGGTCCGAAATTTCCTTCATTGAATGGTTGGCGGGGAGCATTTGATCGATAGTGGCATTGTAATTGGGCTTCCGCCTTAAGCGCAAAATTCACCGCCAGGGAGAGGGACCAGACGGAATTAAGTTCGAGCTTGTCTTGAAGACTCTCCTTCAAGCCTCCAATGTAGTGCGCCACGAGTTGATTTTCGGATTTCATCAAATTGTTATGTGCGCTCAACTTGTAAATTTCCTTAGTGTATTCATTGACCGGTTGCTGGCCTTGCCGACAATGTTGGTATTGAAGGTACAGTAGTTGCTCAAAATCTGTGGGTAGGAAATTCCGCCTCATGAGCTACTTCATGCAACTCCAACTGCGAATGGGGCCTCTACCTTCTCGTTGTCTATTTTGAAGGAGCTGTAATCACCACGCACTAGCGCCCCCTTTGAGCCGGCAAGCCACATACTTGACTTGCTTCTCGGGATTGACTTCCTTGTAGTTAAAAAAATTCGCCACCGCTCCTTTCCAATCTAGGTAATCTTCTACGTGGAGCCTCCCATCAAAGAATAGAATATCGAGCTTTATGCAGAACCCCTCTGGTTCATTCCACTGGAGGTGAGGTCGCCTTCCTCTGGCCATTGGTGGGAAAAAAAAATTCTCCCTCCGAATCAGAATGCTCTCGCCTGGGAGGATGATGCCCACATCACTTTCTACAATATTTTTTAAAAAAGTTGTTTCCTTTATAATAGTTTTACAATCATCTTTATAAAAGTTACAGCCGTCTTAAATGGACCCTAAATATGTTTTATAACTCATTTTACTATTTGCTCTTCTTAATACAGGAGAGTAAGCGGCTGGCTCAGATGCAGAATGCTTTAGCCAATGGAGATGTCAAAGTGAAGACTGAACTCTGATGGGTATATATTTGTTGAAGTTTCTATGTAAATTTAGGTTTTTATTTTGGATAAATACGCACAATAATCTATAGGATTGTTTCTTTAGCTTTGTTTGTGGACTAATTTTTATCACTAATATCTATAGCTATGTAAGCTGAGGTAAGTTCTTCAAGAATACTGCATATATATCCTGTATTATTGTTTAAAATGTCTTATTATGTGACTATCCTTAACGATCAAAAAAAATTTTTCTTTTTTTTTTTTTCATTTCTGTGTACTTATGATGACATCTCTCTAACGATGTCTTTGGTTTCAATCAATTTGTGGAAGTACAAATGCATTTTATTTCTATTTGCATCAAAGCCTTGCATTGGATACCCATAGGTATTGGTGCACCCATGACCTCGTGGGTTGGGTATAGGTGGGTACTCAACATCGAGGGATGAACCGATTTAAACTGTTAATCACCATATGCCGTATATTATCGTAATCCTCGCTACGTAGTGCGCATCACTAAACCGCGTTGCGACCACGGTAAATTTTGGTATGCGGTTTGAAAGTTTGCAGTCAAAGCAAAGGACAATAAGGCTTAAGGTCATCAGTCTGTGGCAGACTGCATTCAAAAAGTGTGGAAAATGGGTGTGTATGGACGGGTAGGGCATCCGAAAAGTTATCATGGGTGGGCGTGGGTGCCCAATGGTTATTTTTTTGGATTTGTTTCGGATACTTATATATTTTTTTTGTAAAAATGATTTAAAGTTGTTGTGGATAATGTAGTTTTTCTAAATGTTTTTATAAAAAATAGTTTCTTAATAATAAAAAAATTAAAAAATAATGAGAAAGTAATAATAAAATGAAAAATTATGAATGTGGTGTAAGAATGTGAGTTATCTTCAAATTATTTAGGTAAATCATAAATATGTTGAGTAATGTGATCATTTTAGATGCATTAATGTTGTGAACGTAGCAAAAAAACATAGCTATCGATGGTGCAACAAGTGTTCTTAGTTTCTTCCACACTTCTAATTAGTATGATATATTTTAATTAATTAATATAAATAATTAGTTTAATAATTGCTTTTACTTGTTTAGTTATTTATTAAAGATTTAATTAAAATTTTTAAATATTTAATAAGAAAGATAAGGTAATGTGTTCCTTCATAAAAAGTTTTATAAAAGAAGAAAAACTAATGTTGAAATGTGGCTATTTAGTAAATTTAATTTTGATTAATTAAATTGCAAAGAACTTTTTTATACTATTTATTTACAATAATAAATTAATCATTTGAATAATTTTTACTATTGTTGCATTAAAATAAGATGCAGTTTTAATTATTGTTATAATCAAAATTTTAAAAACTAGACTGGATAGAATTACTCAGGGCCGTCGGTTCGCCGGTTGAATTGCAATCGGGTGGTTCAATTATCATAATTTTAAATAATTAAATAAATAATTTTCTTAAATTAAATTATATCTAAATATGTAATATAAATTAGTAATAATTTATATTAAATTATGTAATTATATGTAAATTAAAATTTAAAAATTGAAAAATATTTAAATTTAAAATTATCATATTATTATAGTGTAAATTCTTATAACTATGAGATTTGAGAATTTTGGCTTTTATACGAGATTTTAAAATAATTCTTTCACTTAATTATGTAATTTTTTTTCTAAATTTTTTATTTCATTTAATTGTTTATCTCATATTTGAAATAATAACATTATTATTATGCTAATTTTTTTAAATTTTAATAATATTATTATTTATTTATATTGATTGTAAGAAAATGAGAAAGTGCAGTAACTCCGAAAGCCTATACGGCTATACCCTCAACAGCCGTACCTGTCTACAAAGTCTATCGACCACTATGCTAACTCCCACACGCAAAAGCCCTCTCCACACGTGTTTCCATATCCGTGCTCTCTCTCTCTCTCTCTTCCTGTCTTTTCCCAACTCTCTCTGATAGACATAGAGAGAGAAAGACTATTTACTTCACTGTGAATGTGAAGAGTGCTTATTTATTACAAATTAGAGGATTAGAGGTCCTTAAGACATATAAATTTATGATTAGAGGAAATATTATAAAATTTTTGTAAAAAAATTTTGAAAAAATTTAAGCTTAAAAATTATTAAATCTTATTTTTAAATGAATAGTATTTATATTTGTTGCGGGTTAGAATATATGCGGTGATAGAGTTAGAAAATTTTCGTCTCAGGTTGTACATAATCCAGTACACAAACAATATGAAAAAGAAACACCAGTATTTTTACGTGAAAAATGTTGTAAAGGGAAAGATCATGGGGACACGCCCATTTGATAAGATTCCACTAGTATTTGTTAAAGTTACAAATGGCTGGCTTATCCCTGAAATTGAGGACGATCAGATACAAACTCTCGAGTTGAAATTCAGTTACAAACAGATGTTGAAATTCCGGCGACGTTGGGTGATCAGGCAAAACTCCTGCGTCACTTAAGGGTCAGGTGGAACTCCAACGTCACTTGGGTAAAAGTCATGCGTCGGATAGAAATCCGACGACGAGCGGAGGTCCGACGTTGGGTAGAAGACTGACGTCAGTCGGCGGCCAGGGGGAACTCCGGCATTAGATGGCATTTGGGCAGAGCTTTGACGTCGGTAGGCTGTCGGGTGAAAATCTGGCGATGGTCGAGAATGAGTCTCTTCCTTCTCTTCTCTTCTTACTTGAGTCTCCTTCTTGCCCCCCTTTCGGGGGTTTTCCACGTAAAAAACTTGGTCTCTTGTGAATGTCGCACCCCCTCTTTTAGCTGTGTGCATGCTGGATCCTCGTACAAAGCTAAGACATTAAATTTTATGTTTCTCTACCACCGCGAATACTCTATGACACAACAATATTTATAAATTTGTTTTAATTTCATTTCTTTTAGAGTTTTGAGTGTATAATAACCTATTGTGGGTATAATTGACAACTCAAAAATTATGCTATTCTAACTCGTTATATCTAACTTTCTATTTATAAATATATTGATATATAGTTCAATTTAGTTCTTCATTCTCTGCCGCATCCTTCGTTTATTTATAATTATATTAATATTTCTCTTTGTTGATTTTTGTTGGTCATACACAACGTAATGTTTTTATAACTTCTAAGGCTACGAGCAATCTATTATGAGAGAGATGAATATCTAAGGCTTTGTTTGGGACGGTTTTTTTTTTTTTGCTTCTTAAAATAATTTTTAAGTAAAAAATTATTTTTTTGTGCTAAAAAATTATTTTAAGAAGTAATTAAAAAATAATCACAAATGAAGCCTAAATCAATATGCTATGAGTAGGAGAATAAGGGTCCAATGTAAAACTAATGTTTGAGAAAAGAGAAATTAGTAGGAGAGGTCATTTGCTTATCATTAGCACTTTTCTTTATACTATTTTGTATTTTGTCTATATAATTAGTGATTTCATGCTAATTAATACAAGAGAATGCAAAATATATAGAATAATATATAAAATAAAGGTCATCAAAGCTCATGATTTAAGAATTCTTTAATAAGTGATGATTAGAGACTAAGGCTTCATTTGGGACGGTTTTTTTGTTGCTTCTTAAAACAGATTTTTAGCACAAAAATTAAAATTTTTATACTAGAAAACTGATTTAAGAAGCAACAAAAAAGTTGTCGCAAACAAAGCCAAAGTTCTACTTTATTAAGGTTTCGTTTGGTGCAGTTTTTTTTCTGTTTTATATATGAAACAATTTTTTAATAACGAAAGTTTTTAATTTAAAAATTTTTGTATTAAAAAGTTGATTCATAAAACAGTAAAAAAATGGTCGCAAACGAAGTATAAGTCTTTACTTGATTTGTTCAATAAAAAATAATCACAGGCTAATTCATTGAAATTTTAATATAAAAAAATTAGAATTTCATTTTATTCTTCCAAAATTGAATGATAGTGCAATCAAATTGATATAATTAGATGTTAATTAGAGACTAAGGCTTCATCTGGGACTCTTTTTTTGTTGCTTCTTAAAACGGGTTTTTAGCACAAAAATTAAAAAATTTATAATAGAAAACTGCTTTAAGAAACAAAAAAAAATTGTCTCAAACGAAGCCAAAGTTCTATTTTATTAAAGTTTCGTTTGGTGCAGTTTTCTTTCTGTTTTATATATGAAACAATTTTTTAATAACGAAAGTTTTTAATTTAAAAATTTTTGTATTAAAAAGTTGATTCATAAAACAGTAAAAAAATGGTCGCAAACGAAGTATAAGTCTTTACTTGATTTGTTCAATAAAAAATAATCACAGGCTAATTCATTGAAATTTTAATATAAAAAAATTAGAATTTCATTTTATTCTTCCAAAATTGAATGATAGTGCAATCAAATTGATATAATTAGATGTTAGCATATAAATATTCAAAAATTTGATGCTATTCACATTATCCTAATGCTTTAGTTTATTTAATTTCTTTTATATTTTTATTCTAATTCAAATTTTAAATCTTATTGAGGGATAAGAACAAGAATTCAGAAATAATAATAAAAAAGGAAGCTTAAATAACAGTAAAATGCTGGTCATGATGACATAGCCAAAAAGGCCAAGTTAAATGAGCTGTAAAAGATATGAACAGTAATTCAAGTCAAGAAAATAGTAGCTCAAATTAAGCTCATATCACTTCAAATTGCCTCTTTTAAGCCTTCTTCTCTACCTATTGCAGTGAGAGATAAAAAAGTTGAAGAAATTCAATTTGAAAGGTTATTTAATGGAGTTGATGTTACCTTTCGTTGGCCGAGTAAGAGAAGGAAGAAAAAAAAATTCAACTTTTCAATGAAAGGGTGGAACAGAAGAACTATTTCAGAATCAAATAAGAAAAAAAAATCATCCTTTTTCCACAAATGCTTAAGAATTTAAGAAAAATGAAGAAGAAGAAGAAGAAGATGAGTATGGAGGAGGGAGACAGCCTCTGAATTGGAAGAAATCGAAATAAAAATCTTTTTTTTTTTCAGAATAGTTTAAAAATAAAGAAAAATGATGAAGAAGAAGCAGGTGGGAAGAGCTTCTGAGTTAAGAAATCAGAATAAAAATCCCTTCTTTTCCACAAACGCATACAAACTTGAGGAAATTAAAGTAGAAAATCAGAGGAGAAGACAAGAAGAAGAGGGAGGTGGAAGAAAGCTTAAGAATTATGAAGAAATCAAAATAAAAAACCCTTCTTTCTTACAAATGCGTAAAAATTTAAGGAAAAATACAGAAGAACAAGAAGAAGCAGAAGGGGGAGCTAGAAAAAAACTTGTGACTTGAAAAAAATCCCTTTTTTTCCCACAGATTCATCGAAAAAAATGCAGAAGAAGAAGAAGAGGGAGGTCGGAGACAGGTTCTGAACAAATAAGAAACAGAGAAAAGAGAGGAAATGGCTTAGTATAGAGAGTTCGGGGGAAGAAAAAGGATAAGGTAACAGAAGCTTAAAATAGAAAAGTAGAAGATTTTATGAAGCAATGATGAAAAACCTTTTTCCATTCCGACAAAAGCAAGATTAAATGAGATAAAGGTTGAGAGAGAATGAGTCAAATTCCATCATCATTACGCTAATCTGCTCAAGTTACATAAACCATAAAAATATTAATTAAAAAAAAAACGAGAAGCAGATCAATCTTACCAGAGTCAGCGTACAAGAGATTCATGGAAGCTGTGATTGAGGGGAATGAAGCCTGGTCCGAGATCTTCTTCTACAGCTAAGAGAAAGAATACAGAGAGAGAGAGAGAGAGAGAGAGAGAGAGGGAGATTTCATGGCTAAGAAGAGAGAAGAGGAAGCGCGAGAAAGAAAGCCTCGAGCCAGACAACATTCCCCTCAAAAAGAAAGCTTCCTTCTTTCCCGAAGCTCCGAAGAAGAAGAAGAAGAAGAAATCTTCTGTTCATTTTGTCATTTTTTCCTCTGTAATTTCTCCCCCTGGAGGTCCGGTGGGTGTTCGGCTTATCATGACCGAAATGATTACTCTTCTGAAGCAAGAATACAGAGAAAAAGGAGGGGGAGACTGAAATATCTGGTGAAGAAAATAATAAATTCTCTATGACCTTCTATTTTTTTATATAGAAAACTTCGACACTCAAATTTAATGAAAAAAAAGGGTGGAGATCAAATTTTATTTCAACGGATATAATTATGAAAATTTTATTCAAATTTATATAAATTTAATTTATAACTGTAATTAAGATTATACTCATTATATTTTTCACATAAAATTGATTTATATTATTTAAAAAATCCTTACTGATTATACCTTTTGGCTCTCATAAAAAAATATTTTTTTCATTGAAAAAAAATGAAGGAAGACGCTAACAATGGTGAAGAGATAGAGAGAGAGGCGAAGACTTTCAACGAGAAGAAATGGAGTAGTAAATAGTGGGTCAGCAAGGGCAGAGTTGCAGACAAAAATTTTAAAGAAGGGAGAGAGAGAGTAAAAAGACAATACACTGAGATCAGGCACCCGTCCCCACCCCCTTCACCATGTCTCTCTCTCTCTCTCTATTCAGAAGAAATGACCACGACTTCATGCACCCATTTTCTCTCTCTTCTCACTCTCCCCACTTTTCACGTGACTTTCTCTCTCTATCTCTATCCTCTCTCTCTCTCATCAGACTCAGCACAATTCACAGCTTAAGCATTGGTAGTCCATTACTCTATGTCATGCACAAAATATTCAGTGAGGGAGTTGCTCAACTTAAGAGAGAGAAAGAGAATGAGAGAGAAGAGAAGATAAGGCTCTAGTGATCTTTAATGGGATAATAGGCTTATAAACTATTTTATTTTTATTATATTTATAAATACTAGATTCTAAATAACTTAGGATATGTTTGGGCTAGCTTTCTAACTATTTTTTTTCCTCTAACATCTAATATAATTTCATTTGGCTATTGACTTTTGTTTCTTTCGCATAATTTTTTAGAAATTTTTGTGATAGAAAGCTGTTATGTATAACCATATTAGTGAAGTTATTTTCTCTTCAATAATTTCACAACAAATTTTATAATTATACGCTATAGTCATCCCAAACAGATTCTTAATTTTTGAGCTACAACTTTCTTTCAACTTTTATATTTTAGTGATAAGTTGAAAGAAATAAATTCACATAAAAAAAGGGCAAGAACACGATCATCAAATAGAAATGTGATTGCTTTCTAAAAAGCTAAGTCGTGAGAAAGCTGCCAAAAAAGTCCTTAATATCTATTAATCAACTTAATTAAAAAAGTTATTGAGCTTAACGTTTCGTTTGCGACGACTTTGTTACTGCTTCTTAAAGTTGTTTTTACTTACAAAAAATATTAATTTTTGTAATAAAAAATTATTTTAAGAAGCAGTAAAAAAACCGTTCCAAAAAAAGCCTAACTCAACTCGTTTATCTCTTTATTATTGAATATATGAACAATATTAAAATACATAAGATATTATTATTTAGGATATGTTAGGGTGATAATTATTGTTATTTTTCTATCATTCACGTATCATTATTCATATATTTTTAATAGTATTTGACCATAATTTTTCTTTTAATCTGATAATTTTTTTATCCATACATACATTAAATTAAATTAATTATTATGTTATTTAATATATTAAGATAAAGATGTACTACCGGTCAAAGAAATTTATGGGCCGGGCCGTTCTCAGGTCCAAGATGAAAGGGCTCTATTGGGCTCACTGACTGAAACAAAAAAAATTTAGAAAGGCCATTAAAGCTCGGCAAAACTCTAACATTCGCGAAAATATGGCGTTTGTGTGCATCAAAGATAAATATTAAAACAATTTTTCTTTAAAAATAGAAAACCAAATTTAACAAAATAATTTCCATTTTTTTGCAATTCTACAAAAGAAAAAAAAATCAAATTGTTAATTTATGAAGATGATTATTGATACGGCATCACAAAAATTATCTTGATCGAGCACGAATCTCGAGGCAAAAGCTAGTTGGAAACTTCAAAAATTAATTTTGACTAGTGGATTCATTCAAACCGGGCCAGGCCCCGTGGTTTTTCCCCCTTTTTCAGGGGTTTTCCACGTAAAAACTTTGGTGTCTCTTATGAACGCTACACCCTCTCACTTATCTGATTGTGTGCTGGATCTTCGTACAACGCTAAGACGTTAAACTATATATTTCTCTACCGCCGCGAATATTCCAGGACGCAACAATTATTACAAATTTCAAATCTACAATAGAAAACTTTTTTTTTTAACAATATATTAAAGCCATAACAAAATATAACTCATATTTAGATTACCTTATTGCCTTTTGCCACCCCAATAAATTATATATTTTGTGGCCATATATTATTAGAGAAATATTTTGTGGCCATATATTATTAATAAAAAATTAAAACACCTGACTCAAGGGAAGAACGACACTTCACCCCTGAGAAAATATGCTCGAAAGTTTATTTTAGACATAATTAAATTCTCTTTTGAACTTATGTTCATCTTTTATGGGAAGAATGACAATTTGCCCTTTCTCACTTCTGTTTTCTCCATCTTTTCGTTCTTTCACAAATGGATCCGAATAGAAAGACTCGTACATTCTTCCAATCCAATCTCATCGGCATGGACTCAAGAACGAACACCTTTAGCTATTTTGATTGTACCCTGTGAATCGCGTGAAAATAGGATCATAAGCTTTGATATTTTTTCAATCAACAGAATATGTATTAGATAATTACGTTGATGAAGCTCAATCGAAAGGAGCAACTCATCGAAGATTTAAATAAACATTGATAATGCTTTGCTTTAAAAAATTTATAACATGTAATAAAAATTAGGTTATTTTGATTGAACTTTGACATTGAACTAAATTTAATATCAAATAGAGTATTTCAAATATGTATAAATAATAAATAATGAATATATTTATCAAATTATTGCAATCATAAGGGTGTAAACTGAAAAAATTATCAAGAAAATATCTCACCAACTTACTTAAATAGTAGTAAATTAGAACAAAAAAAGGACTTATTTGATGAGCACAAACTAAGTTGGAGATTCTTTTTAGCATTTGGTCATTAGTCAGAAGATTATTAGTGACCTGTCTTGGCTTATTAATTGTTAACAGTTTCTCCCATTCTTCTCAACAATCAATGAACCTAACACTTTAATACATTTTTTTTTTATTTTTTTATTGAAATTTAATTCCATTTGTATTCACAATTGTCTTTCTCTATTTTTTTTGTTTTTTCCTAAAATAAACAAATACTTAAATTTGTTGAATAATTACCAAATTTAATTTAGAATTTCATTAAAAATGATTAATTAATATATTAAAAAGATTAAGGCTTCGTTTGGGGTGACTTTTTTATTTTTTCTTAAAACGGGGTTTAGTTTTAGTACAAAATATTTTAATTTTTTAACTAAAATTATGTTTTAAGAAGCAATAAAAAAATAGTCCCAAATGAAGCACACGGCCTCGTTTGATTCTCTGGCTTTATTTCTCATTTTTAACGAAGCTTTCAGAACAGCAAATGGAGAAAAAAATTTCTTCTCAAATCGGCGGAAATACGGAGATTCACCATAAGTTATTTTGAAAAAGCGGTGTTACCAAACAGCAAAACAATCATTTTTTTGCCGATTCAAACCGCAAACGGAGAAACAAACGAGGCCTAAGTCTTCATTTGGAACGGCTTTCTTATTATTTTTTAAAGCAACTTTTTAGCACAAAATTTTTTGTGTTTGAAATTTTTGTACTAGAATGTTGCTTTAGAAAGCAATATGAAAGTTGTCCGAAATAAATCCTATGATTTCATTTCGGACGACTTTTTTACTACATTATAAAAAAAATTTAGTGAAAAAATTTTTTAAACTGAAAAATACTTAAAAAAGTAATAAGAAATACACCTCAATATTATAAGAGAGGAATGTAGAATATAGACAAGTGGTGAGAAGAATTAGGTTAGTTTAATTAGAACAAAATGTTGATAGGGACTTCTTTGTCTTCTTCCCATAATAATTTCTAACAAATGCAGCGCATATATGCATTCGTCAGTATTTAATTTCAGAAAGGGCTTGCAAGGAGTCGGGAGAAGCCATGGGAGCTCTGAAACTTCCTCCCAAAGGGTGGTTGGCTATAAGGGTCGGCGAAGAAGGAAGAGAGCAGCGGCGATTCTTAGTTCCCGTAAGGTATTTAAGCCATCCTCTCTTCATCGAGCTTCTTAAAGAATCGGAAGAGGAATATGGATTTCAGCAGAAGGGGGCGATAAGAATCCCCCGCGAAATCGAATATTTCCTCCATGTGAAGGAAGTTATCGATCGGGATAACAGTTGCAGAGCTTCCGAGACGGCTTCCGCCGCTCACTATCTTCATCGCCCGATCGATCTGATCTGTTTTCGAGCGATCAGTTGATGATTAATTTGAAGATGGAGAATCTGTTTGGATCGATTTTATCTCGTTTTTCTCTGTATTTTTTCCTCTTTTGTTTAGGGTTTAGAGAGTAGCTGTAATCGGAGGAGTGGAAAGAGAAAAGGAAAGCTATGCTTTTTATTTTGTTTCAAAGTATGAAAATTTGATGGAGAAGATTTGTGTGAAAATATAAGATTTACTTTGAGATTAGCATAATATAAATTATAAAGGGAAATTTACATATATACCACTTTATTTCATGATATTTACATATGTAACATTAAAAAATTTAATATTACATGTCTATCACTCATATGCAACTTTAATATTGAATATATTACTCCTATAATTTATTTCTACCATTCATACAATCTTATAAACTTTAATATTTAATTTCATATACTCAAATTTGATCTATGGATGTATAAATCTAATATTAATGTTTTGGGTGTTAGATATGTAAATAGCATGAAATAAAGTGGTATATATGTATGTAAATCCCACAATTATAAATATTGCACACTAATCTTAAAGCAAATTCAATGATTTGGATGCAAGGAGTTTGGTTTTGGATTTGAATAATTACTTGTGGTATAATTAGATAGAGATTTGAGGTGGCTACTACCCTCCTAAATTCAAAAAAAAAGAAGCTATAATTATGTATAATATGTTTTTTTTTCAAAATTTATTTTGAATTTTATAAATTACAAAAGATTAGCCAAACTTGCAATTTAGAGTTTTTTTATTGCTCATTTTTAATTGAAAATACATATTTGCTAAATTGATAATAAATTGTTTAAGTGGTCCATCACTATTTGTGGTGGAAATATTAGGGGTGGCTATCACCCTTTTTTAATTTATTAAAAGTTTTATATAATTAAATATAAGATAAAATTTAAATATTTATATTTGATAATAATTATATATTAT